GATAAACAAATGTTAAAAACTTAAGGTCTTATCAAAATGTGTCATCAATTTTCCGATAATAGTATCAAGGTAAATAACTAGTATAGTTGATTCATAAAAAATTAGAATCCAATCAATTTTGATGGATATTATCATAGCTATTATTATATTTAGGAATTGGGGTATCTATAAGTTTATTTAAGTTTTTCACCGAACAGTATGGTTATTGCTTATTGTTTTCAGATTATTAGTCATAAATATAGAGATGTAGAAAAACAATAAACTATTTCAAGCTTGATTTATGAATTAATATGCGTCCCTTGGAAGTTAACAAATAAAAATACCTCAAACGGATATTTTCGAAACATTTTCACATCTGGATAAATTCCACAAAAGCAGGATTTTTCGTTTCATCCTCAAAACAGATGTGGCCAAATTCAGTGACAGTATCATTAAAGGATGAGGGGACCTTAGAAAAAGTTTTTTTCTCGTGCAAATCCTTTTATTACATTAATCGTATAAACCACTTTAGTGAAATCCGCAAAGTTGTATTTCATTCGCGCGCCGAGATATCCCGCCAAAACAATTTGAACCTGTGACGTCAATTATGTGAGTTGCTCTGATCCGCGCATATAGAAATACAGGTAAAATGAGCGTGCGGGCCGACTAAATTACTAATTAAAAATACATTAACAATTTACGATACTAACGAGCCTATAACCAATGGAGAGGAGACTTTTTATGACCGGTTGAAAAAAGAATTATCACCCTACGATAACCATGAGCCGAGATACACCTGAAATAAGATTGAAGTCACACAGAAAGGCATGTAAATTATGTATAGTTATAGCTCCCAACGTAACACCTAGCAACTCCCTGTATCGTACCACAGTTGATATATCAACATGTCATATCAACACAACACGGTCCTAATAAAAATGGATCGGGTAGGTATGAAATGCATGTCTTCAATCCAGTCGGACAAGCACCAAGCACCAAGCTTTTAAGTTCTAACTCACTATGTGACACTACTTATAACGTAAGCAAGATTTGCAACTATCACACCAAGCAATATTATACCAAGCATAGCAGACGAACACATCCACATTCGTTACGCTTTACACTCAAGTCACAGCAAACTAAAACGGTAAATTATAAATGAGTGTACAACTAAAGGCTGGTACACGCCGCATTGTCAAACCGCACGTGCGCACTCAGATAGGACTAGAGGCGCCAAGGGCCAGCTAGTAAAATGTCTTCTACTACATCATACATTCAATCGATTTTTAGATCTTTATTCTTGTATGAAGAAATATGCCGATTTTTAATTGTGTCCATATCGGGTTTCAAACAAGTCAAAACAAAATAGCAGTTTGTGGTTTAGTTAGCGGATGCTACTTATCTTAGCTATTTATAAATAGAAATACCTACTACAACTACAAGAAAGCCTTTCTGAGTTACATTTAACTATCAGTATCAAGGAGAATTATTCGTAACTTAGATCTTGACTAATTCAGTGCAACCAAAGATACCGCTCTCGCAAACGCCAAAGGTAACACGACGCGACGTAATTAAAACAGCACAGAACAAAATGCTGACACAAGCGAAGGGTGCGCGCGCACGTTGGTCTTAACACATAAGTGACGTCACAGCCCAAAATTGCTATCAGCCAATAGGAGCGCGGCGTGATATTGCACGAATTATCGATTTCACAGTCCGGCGTATTTTTTGATTCTACACACTTTCACAGGACTTAAACGCGAATATTTGGAAGTAAATTCTAAGGTCCCCTCATCCTTTAATTTAACCGGGTGATACAGCAACCGACACTGATAAAATTGTAAAACACAATGTAAACAATGTTAACACGAGTTGTGCTAACACAGATATAATGACAATGTTGGAATACTGTAATAAATGGGAGAGGAAGGGTGTCCATGTAGATTGTAGCTGAATGTTGATGAAATAGTTGAACTTTATAAGCTAACCTTGTTCAAATGATTAGTTGCACTTGCTGGACGGGTATTTGTTCATTAATCAAACTTGTAGCTCACCACGGGTCCAGATTAAAACTTAAGGGGGCATACACCAAAACAGTGGTTTATGCCGTCCAGACCAAATGACCTCATAGGCAGTTCAGTGATCTTCTAGCGCACCGTTTCCACACCAAAAAAAATCATTTTGAGAATACCTATTTTTTGTAATCGAGCATTTCCTGGTTAAGAGTGCAATTTTCGGGAAAAAAAGCTTTGCAGATAAAAAATCACATTTTCTCCCATAACTTCAAAGGGAAGCATTTTAGGGTGTTTTGTTGTTCATAACTCATATATAAATGTGTTAGTTGCGGTTATTTTGCACCCTTCAAAAGTCACTAGCACATTCCTATCAAAATTTTAGAAAAATCAGTAAATATTAAAAACGAAAAATGTGCCTAAATTTGTTGTTTGGCTTTGAGGTCCAATAGATCTGAAGATAAATGAGTAAAAACATTTTTGAGGGCATCAAAAACTGCGCCAGAATTCAGAGAACAATTTGATGTCGAGCATCAAATCAATCCGATCTTCCCTGACTGACTTTTTGTTAAGATAAGCCTGAAAAGGACAATTTTAGCTTTTTGACTTTAACAAGAATTTCGCCGCGGTTAAACCACGCACGATCAATTTTCCCTACCATGTACCATTAATTCTTTTGAGTGAAAAGTGTGACTGGAAAAAAAGTGCACCATATTTACATACTATGTTTTTTATAAATAAGTGGGATTCGTGCATGGTAAAAATTGACGATTTATTTGACCAATGCAGCGCCGCGCATCAACAATAAATGAATCCAGAAAATTGCGGAAAATAACTTTGCGAAGGAGGAATTTCACTGCAATTAATTAACACATGGCTAGCGTCGCGCGCAGCATAACAGATGCTTCCTATACACTTAATTATAGGGGAGTGGTCTATATTGCGAAGGAGCAGACTTTTGTCGTCATCGCAGGTCCAACGGGCCACTTTATATATCCAAACCCGATTACTTATTTCCTACGATCTTTTTGCCTTCGGCAAGAGTAGGGAAAAAAATTTATAACACACCAGCCTTTTTAGATACGATATCAAGATTTTACACACACCTTGAAATAGATGTGAATAAACGGCGAGCAAAATTTCAACCCGATACCTCAAGAAATGATTAACTTATAGCGTCTCAACCAAAAAATTATTTTTTCCGAAAATTGCACTCTTAACCAGGAAATACTCGATTACAAAAATAGGTATTCTCAAAATAATTTTTTTTGGTGTGGAAACGGTGCGCTAGAAGGTCACTGAACTGCCTATGAGGTCATTTGGTCTGGACAGGTTTGGTGTATGCCTCCTTAAATGTATGACTGGAGCGACTTTTCTGATCCACAATACCGAACAAATATATGACTACTAAATACTTAAATTAAATGCCCCACGAAAAACCTCACCGAACCTCCACGCGGTGTGGGGTGGGTGGCTCGAACGGGAGGTGCATGGGTGTTTCTAACCTATGCAAAGGAAGGGACTAGCCATCTCTACAACAAAGGAAAGGCTCTAATAGCCTCTACTAACCTTAGAACCGCAGCATAACCACTTTTCCCACAGGCAAATAACACCTTCCGCAGGAAACTATAACACGCTCACAGGCTCCCACATGACGTGTAACCCCAGGATTTGGTTTTGGATCGGACACTCAAAACAACGATAGAGGAGCGGTCTACACGCTCACAGGCTACCATGTCTCGTGTTACCCCAGGATTTAACACGCTCACAGGCTACCAGTACCACGTCTCGTGTAACCCTAGGACTCTAACACTTAACAGACTCTAACACGCTCACAGGCTTCCACGTCTCGTGTACCCTAGGATTTGGTTTTGGATCGGACACTCAAAACAACGATAGAAGAGCGGCCTACAGTGACGTTACAGGAACATTGCATACTCCTAGGAGTTGCACGTAGTAGGCCATGACCTCCCCTGGAAGTCCCTGTCTCTCCGTCGTTAACCCGGCGGGGTTGCACCAGTGGCGGTGGTAACAGAACTTCAAGACATATCTATGTTTAATATATTTATGGTATAAAATTTGGGAGTCTCTCTCTCTCCGGCAGCAGGAGTTGGAGAAAGTCCACCGTAAGGACTAAGGAAGGCTTACTGTCGACGCCGACCAATCAAAAGAAGACTTAAATTAAATATCAAACTGTTTTTATATGGAAACGCCTTCATCATTATTATCGAGTATACCAAACATAGTAGTACCAAGTTATGATTATATATGCAGTAAGTAGAAACACCTTAAAATTTGAATTTGCTCATGATTTATTGTCGTGCCGTACAAGAGTTTTCGTGTTTACTAAATTACAATTTAACCTGACAGTTTAATACATGACAACTGCACCACAAAAATTAAAGCTCCCTTTTCGGAAACAGTTGAATATTAGATTTGTAAACGCACCAAATTGTTGTTCGAATGTTTATATATTCGATATCTTAATGGACCTGGAAGAATATGAATGATTCGTATTCGGAAGGTCCCCTAGTTAGGTATCGTTGGTAAGAGAGTTTGCTTGAAAAATGAGTTACTCATCCTTAAAAGCAAATAAATGTCAAACATTCGGCGACATGAGCGACATGAGCGACATGAGCGTGACGAGAATTAACAATCAGCTTGTTTACCTGTGACTTTTAAATCTCGGCAATGTTATATTAATGAGATCAGTATTTATATTAAAGTTTGCGAGAAATACACTTAAAATAAAATATCATAATTTGACTTCGTGGGATGAAGCACATGATAATGAAGGGTTACACGTGTCTTTGCCGTGATATTTGATTGGATGGTTATTGGTTGACACTTGACTGGGCAAGTTTTACAGACAAGTGCTAAAAGCATGAGACTTTATATCGTTCTTAATTGCTTACCTGTTTTGTATAATGGTGCAATTAAGAGCCAACTTCAGCAAAATTAAAATAAAGATTGATGAAATTTGTAAGTAAAATTATTTTATAAATTTAGGTAAAGTTAGAAAACGGGAGCGAGAACTACTTTTTGGTTTACTTCAAGCTGGTATGTAAAGATGATCACTTCGACTTGAACCTTCCACTAGCAAGCTCATGTTTCTTCCTTGGTGCTTCATTCGGTTGGTAAGATTTAACATTTGCACTTAGTATTATCTGTAAATGCTTACGTCACATCATTAAAAGAGTCGTAAGCGTCTAGTCGCAAATAAAATTCAAAAAATCTGCAAAGATTTATTTGATATTTCTGGTACCATTTACATGAGATCACATTATAAGCGGTATTAATAATATTCATCAAAGAACAGCAGTAGTCTGCTGGGTTAGTTTACCGCAGAATGATTGTACCGGTACAGATCTATTAAACACATTTAATCATGTCAGCTATAGAAACACGTGACTTATATTCATAATGAACTATCCTCACCTCTGTACGGTAAAAATCATTGATTAATTTGCTTGCACACATGCGCTGCACCACTTTAATCTGATTTCACATCAGCCTAATATTGAGGGTTACTATGAATTAATACTATGAATTTACTATGAATTTGTGGGTCTATAACACAACCATTTTCATTCTGACCCCTTAACGCATGCTCCGTGTGAGGTTGCATTTCCTCGATTTCATATTCAAATTGAAAATACTCCCGTCAAGTTATTGGGTAGCCCTAAATCTTGATATTCAAAACGTACAGGAGGATGTTTGCTGGGGATACTATCGGACACGAAAGGAAGAAGGTTCACGGTGGTGGTGTCACTAGTTGGTGCTCTTATCTCCTCCCTCCTCACTGTATTTACTCCTCTCATTGAGATATATTTACTGGGACGGTTCTTCGATGGGGTGTTTTTTGGAGGCTATTACATTCACTCCTTCATCATCTCCATCGAATATTCTAGACCAGGTGAGACTTCTTTGGAGAAAGTTACTTTGACGAAACTTTATTTCGAGGAACTATTTGATGTGGCCTCGAAACATTTTTTTGCAATAACGTTTAATTAGTAATTACCTTTCATAAAAATGAAAATATAACTAGGGGTGGTTTCAAATTTAATGGTGATCATGAAGTCGAACAAATTTAAACTGGAATACATCGAGCTGATAAAGTAAATAGGGTAAATAGTGACATCAATGGTGATGAGTCACGAGAAGTTGATGCCGTTGCATTCATTGACAACCTCCCTTCATAATAACAATAACAGGGGTAGAATCTTCCAAGGTTGGTGACAAATAATCCTGAAATAACTCTAAACCCAGTCGGAGTCGGTATGTTCCATTAATCCTTATTGGATATTATTATTCCGCTATTCGCATGACCATGAACTGCAATGTAGGATATTGCAACTCTTGCACAATGTTCAAATTTCAATCTAGATTGAGACATGCATAATTCGGACCATTTTTAATAGTAATGCACACGTGGTACTAGTACTACTACTAGTAGTAGTGTAGTGTCTTCAGAATTCCTCAGAACTACGGACGCCTAGAAAGAAATAATTCGGTTGAATTAAAGTGACTTTTATGCAACTATATAATAAGTGACATTGACAATCGTGAACATTTTTGTAGTTGAAATTTCTACGCCTATCGTTTATATTGTACCTTATTCCTGAAGTTGGAATTTATTGGGATGATATTGATACTATTATAAAACTATGTCTCAAAGTATGGCGGTACAATAAATCTGGGTATTTGGGCGAAGAGTCTCACTATAAGCTTCGACCCCCAGGAAATTTCAACTACAAAACCTTTGCAAGCTGACGTCCAATACATGCGGCAAAGAGATTTTGAAAAGTATATTGTAATAGTGTAATGCTGTTGCTGAGAATCAATCGAGTATTTACATCTTCCGGTGTGAAGTCTTTTAAACGCAGTCGATGGTTAGATTGTAATAAAGTGGTTACTATTATATCAAATAATATCCCGTAAAGATTAAAGAAAATACAAGAATATCGCAATTGTAGAACTTTTAAATGGTAAAGTTTAACTCGATATTCAATTCGTAAAACGCGTTCACAACAGACAAATTAATGAATGACTCTCATTCCCAATTCCCATAAAAGTGCAGGCATTTAGACTTAACTAAACGAAAAAGGAACTTCAGAGATAAAAGTTACTATCTGGTTTCAGGTGCAAGCGTTCCTTTATTAAAATCTGAAAGAGCGACTACGGCTGCAATCAATTTTCTGGGGTCACTCCCAAAATTGACTGTATAAGAGCTTTGAAATAGATCACATGGTTCGATCGGTGTGAAATCAGAAAGACGTGGTAAAATCTCAAGCTTAATCGATGTTGTCGTCTCAAACCAACACAGAGCGGCTTAGGTATAATATTGAATTGGATTTGTAGACCTCTGGGCCGCTCCAACTAATCGAAGGTGCTAATGCAACACTAATACCATCATGATCAAGTTAGATAACATCTAGACTTGATTTGGGGCGCTACCCTATTCCCCAATCAGATTTAACACTACAAATAATATTTGTTATGGTATATTTCCCCGCATTAAACAATCCGTCAATCCATCTTGCAGTCTCAAAGGTACAAGGTTGTAATTCAAAGTTTAATTACGTAACCTATAAACATCAAAGTGTGGTGGGCAGTATTTTTTCTGCTAGAGGCCGCTCCTACTAAATCGCTCGCCCAAATTTTAAGAAAATTCTTGTGAAAAGGCCCTTTAGGCATGACCGTGATCTGGATCGGTGTATTTTTGGACGCTGATTCCGAATCAGTGAATCACCCCCCATGACGTAGGGTTAAAATGCTTCCCTGGAGAGTTATGGGCAAAAACCGTTTTGGTCACGTGACACGCTAGTAAAACGTGAATTCGATTATTTAGGGCTCGGGTTAGGGTTAGGGTTGTGGTTAAGATTATGGATAGCTTCGGGGTTATGGTTAGGGTTAGGGTTGGGATTAGGGTTTATGTAAAACCGTTTTGTACGGCTGCAAAACCAAAAAAACCAAAGTCACGTGAAATTTTTGGGCGAGCGATTTAGTAAGAGCCGCTAGAGGCGGTACAAAATTAAAAACAAATGATTGATTGGTTTAAATATACGGGGGGGGGGGGGGGGGGGAATGTAATTGCACATTGATATCAGCATGATATCATCACACAAACAGGAAGGTTTTAACTATGCATGTGCATATATGACCAAGACTAACGCGCGTCACGAACATCAAACATGGTAAGAGCTAATTAATTTAGAAGTTTTTTTAATTCTGTAGAATATTCCTACAGCTAAATGGACCGTGATTTGTAGTTAAGTTTTATATTTTTTAAACAATTGAACTCAGTTTTCGGCTAAACTCAATTACGCAACCTTATAACTATTAGCCCTAATTTTGAAATTGGGCGGACCAAACTTGTATCACGTTGCGACCCCCACGGTCGTTTCACTATGGTCCCCCTTTATCGTCCTGACGATACAGGGGGAGCCGCGCACTTCGTGCGCGGCGGGTCATACAACGTATGACAAGACCAAACTGTGTGAGATTGTAGCAAAGAACGGCCGCCGACGATTGGGCGACATCTGTCTGACAGCGACATCTGTCCGACAGCCGAATTAGGGATTTCGGACAGATGTCACTGTCGGACATGAGTCGTTTTTGGCGACATCTGTCCGAATTTCGGATCATATTGTAATTTCGGTTCACATTCGTATTTCACAAGCTCACGGGTAATCTCGTGACGTTGCTCCCATTGTTCTAATGCTGATGTGACCCATTGAGATCTGATCCATCGATACGTGATTGACTATTTGAGGACAGGATCGTGCTAGCTGTACACTAACAAGCTGTAACAAGCTGTCGAGTGTCGATGACATCACAGGACACACTACACAGCCTACATGAGTAAGACAGCGGTATGGAGATCAGTTATCGCAACCTGCAATCTTCAGTTTATCCCTGGACGCAAACTCGGAGATTGCCTACGTACGATCGACAACTAGTGATTCGTGAACTTCAGAGAATTGTAGATGATTACAACAACTACAGCAACCTTAAGGATTTCCTAAAAGCTATTGGAAATTTGACTATGCCTTAGATTTGATTCTTTGATATTGTATTTTATTGAATTAATTTATATAAAATTTATATAAATTTAAACTATTGTCCAATTTATCGACATCAAATGAAAATAAACTATGGTACTGGTGTAAACTACGGCTCAGATCATATCTCAAATTGGAAATGTTACGTATACAAATTAGCAAGTAAAAGTTCAGATCATGTTTCTATTGGAAATATGTCGTATTGAAATCAGATCACAATTTCGGACATTTTTTCTGGTACCCTGGGTCGGACAGATTTCGCTGTCGGACAGATGTCGCTGTCGGACAGGAGTCGTGTTACCGCCGCGGACCATGTGCCAAGAATTTAATTCAAGACTTTAGTGCCATTGAGAACTTAAAACGTTCATTGAAACTAAGGATTGAACACAGTGAGCAGCTGTAATCATGTGAGCAGACAAAATTATGATTAGGTAACGACCAAACCAAAAAGTTTTTGCCGAAAACAGTCGAAACCCGAACCGAACCAAAATTTCGGTCGTTTCCTGGTCATAATTGAGGGTAGATGGCATTTTGCTCAAATAAGGGTGGTTCAAATTAGGTCAGCTTCAGATAAGGTACCTACCAGATCAGTAGATCAGACTTCTAAATAGTCATCGTTTACAATTCGAACATGGCTGCAGGTTTGAAATTAAGTAAGTTTGTTTTCGTATGAACTTGTGAATGACAACCGTTAAAGGATATTGCTAAAGATTATTATTATTTAACCAAACTGTTGCTTTATATTTTAATTTAACATTCTATTTATATCCGTTGCTCTAACCAGAGCCCTTTCGCTTGCAGTAGCGCGCGACCGCCGAAACAAGAGTGTCATGCAGTACGCGTAGACACATGGCTACGTGAATTATATCCGTATTCCTCATGTTCAATTCAGATAGACGGTGCTACTGTGTTCTCAGCTACTTTGTTATGTGGGGACCTGCCATGGTCCTAATGCTCCTCCTTGCCGGACTCCTACGTCATCATACGTAAGCTAATACATGTATCTTACTTTGATACTCAGATAGCTGATATGATTTTGCATATTTAAGTATTTTAAGTGGGGAAGATGTTTAAAGTAGAATTATCTTTTGCTGGTTCATGTTATTTAACTTCTTTTTTTTCCTTCAGATTTAACGCATCCTGTTCGTTGATTATACTTATAGTACACAACTTTCTTCATTGTTCAATAGTTCAATTCACAACAAATCTTGTGCAAACTATAATAGTGCACCGTTTAGAATTGGCGGTTGAGATCTTAGTTAATCATATTAGAGGACCACGTCGTATGTGTAAGGCTCGGAACTCCCCACAAACAGGTCCGGTAATGATTGGATTGATTTTGATGTGTATTGTGACTGACAGTGACTCAACTTTCTGAGAATCCTCTGAAAAACGGCCAATTTTAAATCGTTGCATCATAGTTGACATCACTTGCAGGAACACTTATACATCCCCTAAGTTACCTTACCTAGTTACCTACCTACCTACCTACCTAGTTACCTACCTAGTTACCTACCTGGTTACCTACCTACCTACCTACCTAGTTACCTACCTGCTTACCTACCTAGTTACCTACCTACCTACCTACCTAGTTACCTACCTAGTTACCTACCTGGTTACCTACCTGGTTACCTACCTGGTTACCTACCTAGTTACCTACCTACCTACCTACCTAGTTACCTACCTAGTTACCTACCTGGTTACCTACCTAGTTACCTACCTAGTTACCTACCTAGTTACCTACCTAGTTACCTACCTAGTTACCTACCTACCTACCTACCTAGTTACCTACCTAGTTACCTACCTAGTTACCTACCTAGTTACCTACCTAGTTACCTACCTAGTTACCTACCTAGTTACCTACCTAGTTACCTACCTACCTACCTACCTAGTTACCTACCTAGTTACCTACCTAGTTACCTACCTAGTTACCTACCTACCTACCTAGTTACCTACCTAGTTACCTACCTAGTTACCTACCTAGTTACCTACCTAGTTACCTACCTAGTTACCTACCTAGTTACCTACCTAGTTACCTACCTACCTACCTACCTACCTACCTACCTAGTTACCTACCTAGTTACCTACCTAGTTACCTACCTAGTTACCTACCTACCTACCTACCTAGTTACCTACCTAGTTACCTACCTAGTTACCTACCTAGTTACCTACCTAGTTACCTACCTAGTTACCTACCTAGTTACCTACCTAGTTACCTACCTACCTACCTACCTAGTTACCTACCTGGTTACCTACCTAGTTACCTACCTAGTTACCTACCTACCTACCTACCTAGTTACCTACCTAGTTACCTACCTAGTTACCTACCTAGTTACCTACCTACCTACCTACCTACCTACCTAGTTACCTACCTACCTACCTACCTAGTTACCTACCTAGTTACCTACCTAGTTACCTACCTAGTTACCTACCTAGTTACCTACCTGGTTACCTGCCTACCTACCTAGTTACCTACCTAGTTACCTACCTGGTTACCTGCCTACCTACCTACCTAGTTACCTACCTACCTACCTACCTAGTTACATACCTAGTTACCTACCTAGTTACCTACCTAGTTACCTACCTAGTTACCTACCTACCTACCTAGTTACCTAGTTACCTACCTAGTTACCTACCTACCTACCTACCTAGTTACATACCTAGTTACCTACCTGGTTACCTACCTAGTTACCTACCTGGTTACCTACCTGGTTACCTACCTAGTTACCCCTTAGTAAACACTTCTCAGAATATACCAGGTATACATTTTGACAGCTCATATCTCACCCCCAGGTGGCAGATACAAGCCCTCATAAGCTCACTGTTAATTCTCCTCCTTCTCATCTCCAACCTGTGTCTTGGTGTGGAGAGTGCAGCGTGGACCTTCAGTGGTACAACAAAACGCCACCGTGAGAAGTATGGCAGCCTTATCAAATCTATCGCCAAGGTTGGCACCTGCAGACTTCTCTGTATCATGATTTGCACTTTCCTCTGTCATTTGCAGTTTCTTCTGACATCTTCAAACGATATAACTTGATTCGTATAACCAAGCGATCGATTTCAACTTAACTATCCTATTCGTATTAATACTTACAGTTACAGTTTAAACTGATGAATTTCAGTGAGTTTTGTGGAATGAAGAAAGTTTATAATCCCCCGTTATTAACTCAGATAATCAAGATGGAAGTGGCAAGTGTTCCCAACGACCGTTTTCACAGATCTCAGTCTACCCAAAGTTTACAAGATGTGCTGAGAGGTCCCCGATACAAGAAATACAGACAGTCCGTCCTCTCACTGCTCTACATTTGGTAACAAATCATAAGTGATATATTGTCATAATGATTTATATCTTTTGGCTTATTATCGGAGGAACTCAGGTTCAGATCTCAGAATCAGCGGATAAAGATTAGAGAGAGGCAGTAAAAATCTACAAAACGTGCGAACTAAGCAATTCAGTATGAATGAAAGTTTTAATCGAGAGTCTAATAATTTAACTTACTGGAATTTTACCCAGGTTTATAACAGCAGTGGCATACTATCTGAGTTACTACGAAGCCTTCTTCAAGCAGAGTCCCAAGGATCTAGGAGTCCCGGTTTCTACCCTAATCCTCATATCAGCCGGAAGCAACCTTACCGGATTTCTACTCAGTATAGTCCTAGCTCGTTGCCTCTCCCGCCGTCACGCCCTATTTATTGTAACCCTCGCTGCTGCTGCCTCCTCCTTCGGTCTTATCGCTCGCAACAAATACTCCGACTTTGTGCTGTTGTTGATTGGTAAAATAGTCACCAGTGCTCTGTTTGCCCTGGTGTATCTTGTAACTGTGGAGCTAGCCCCAACTCCGGCCCGGGGCCTTGTAGTGGGTCTTTGTTTTGGAATGTCCCGTTTGGGGGCCACATTGGCCCCACATGTCAACTACATCGCAGATATTTTAGATGCTTTACCCCAGGTTACCGTGGGGACTGCGCTTCTTACTTGTTTCATCGCAGCCTGGACTTTACCGGAAACAAAAGACATACAACTTTTACATGATCTTTATCAGACTAAGGATATTCAGAGGCATCTCAACAGATATAGAGCTAGAGATCTTTCCAAATCTCTAGAGAGCTCTATTTAGCTAACAGAACGTTTTCAGACTACCAGTATTGGAGAGTATTGATTGAACTTCACATTTATTATATTAATCTGATTAAGTCTCATTTTATGATTCTTTGAAAAATTTGTGATTGTTTTTGATGATGTAAAATCATTCGACCGAACTCTGAACTGAAAAAATCCGAAATTTTTAAAAAAGAATCTTATTTTTATTAAATTTACCAGATTTTGTTTTTTACGGTGTATGTAAAATTTACATACACCGTAAAAAACAAAATGTACAGTATGAGTAAATTCTTGTACTATAACCTTATAACCACTCGAATCATTTCAGTTTAACTCTGTTATCTGTAAGTGTAAAAGTAATATGACACGGTATATTTTAAACAAATATTAACCACGCGGCCAACCTATGTTCAGTTCATGAACTTTGTTATTGAACAAAACATTGCTGTTTAACTTGTGCTAACTTTGACGCATCATATGATCAACGAACTACTATAGTGCTACTCAAACGCTTATTTTACAAAATAATGTCAAACAAACATCATTGTGGATGATTATTTAGAAGATGCTAATAGTTCTGACACAGTTTGAGTTACAGTAATGACAAACAACAGCTGCTTTTGTTATGCGTTATTGTTTTCAAGTTTTGATTTTCTCGATAGCATGGAGATTGAACTCTTTGAATAAGACTGGAAGTGGAAGTGGTAAGTGAAGTATTTAGATATTTAAATATTTACACCGTGCCCCGAAATTCAACTCACACCGGAACTGCATCAGTTTCTGTTTTCTTCGATCTCAGGTCCTTCACAAGCCCACCTTTTTCCTACAAGTACGGGGGGTGAACCGTTTTATGAATCTTGTCAGGTGTTATAACTTGACAAATTCATAAGACGAATTCGATTAGGTAATTATTATTAATCACAATCCGACAATTTCAACGGCAAAATTTTACACCGTTTGTGGACTAAGCTATCATAATCATTAATCAAACAAAAATGTAAATGTACGAAATCGATCAGTGAAGGATTATTGATTGTTCACAACTGAACTCTAATAGTTCAACAAATAAATTGCATAGTTTCAAAATATGGGAATTTAATCAATAAACGGGCGGTAAAAAGGATCGACACTACCACAAATAGACTGGGCTATGGATACTGAATAGCTCTATACTTGATAAATTTAAAATGTAACGTCATTTATGAGATCGTGAAACTGCATTTGTAATATAAAATCTGGTGCCTTAACCTCGTGGACGTGACTCGTCGTGTGAGGATCAAATCTGTTCAAATCAGACTTCATTATGTTATACTTAGATACTGCTATTGCCTATTCGTTAAACTGATCGATATTACTCTCTATCGATCAGTTAGGACTGAGATCAAAACATTTAAACTGACGAAACCACATTTACAACCATTTCTGTATCATTTCTATAGTGATATAGCCCAAGAAAATTTGTCGAAATTTGCATGATGAGGGGCAACAATGTCCAAGAAGTTGGGATTTTGACCATCAACAACTTGCGGGCGTTACAATCAAATTTGTGCCAGGCAACCCAATTTAATTTTAACTGTTCGGCGAGTTGAGGTACCTAACGTAACGTTAGGAGCTATTTCAAATTTAAGCCACCTTTAATAGTATTAGTATACTATAACAGAAACCCGTCTAACCCTAAAGTGGTGTTAAGAGACAACAATATATATATTTATTTTGTGATTTTTGCACCACTTAAGGATACTAATGTCGGGACCTAAAGTTCTCATTCATCGGCCAATTTTTTATTTCCGCATAAAAAAGTGATAAAAGCACTCAACCCAGCCGAATAAGTTTTAATGGTATATCATTGTACTCGCGTTAAACTGTTAAAGTTGATGCCGTGGTGTCAGTAAAATGGCAACAGATATATCATTATTCATATATGTATAATTGTCTCGGTTTATATATAGTACGATTAGTATTATCATGATTATTAGTGACTCATTTAAATCAGCCATATCAGTATCACAGCCATATAACATATTAATATAGATAATATCATGAACAAAGTTATAATATATTTTATAGACGATAAATTATAAGTTACTCAATTTCAAGTATAATACAGGGTGTTTCAAAAATCTTGCAGGATGTACTTTTTGAATAACTTTTATCCATTTATCAAATAATGGAGTAGTTCGCTGTTTATTAGTCTCGTGATTGAAATACTGAAATAAGAAATACTCAGTATTTTATCCATTTGTCCAAACATGTTGTAAAAGGTTACTGGTAGTTCTGAGGTTTAATGTTGACTCCTGAATTTTGTACGTTATCACGTCAACCACAATCAGTCTCCTAGCAACCGAATGAATGTGCACGCAACGTCCGTCTGCTTAAAGTTAAACAATATGAATAACATCAAAGCTTTTACTAAAAAAAGAAATGATATCAATTTTAATTGCCGTTCCCAAACGCAAAATGATACCGATACATGATTCATTCAAGACCTGCAAATTGCAATGAGTTTATATCTTTATAACATTGAACATCAATCACACTTTGTCGAAATCTCTTGGGTTGCTTTCGGGAAAGCTGTCGTACAATTTAATCAATCATAAATTGTAAAAGAATGGGACAAGCGGGCGACCGATTCATTCAGTTCGGAATCATTTTGCGTTTGGGAACGGTAATATAAAATGAAATGATTTTTTGTTTGTTTGGAAAAAGGAAACACTTGCGATAATTTAATAGAAGCCGTCTTTTGGAACTGATATACAAGCTATTCGAGGGGAAGTCTAATATGCATGAATGATGGACAGTGGACATGCAATTATTTTGCTCAATATGCTCCTGACAGTGACACTATATATTGACGGGCGATCCCGTCTTAATTATGAAACATAATTCTATCGAATTAATTAAATGCCATGGCCATGCCAGCAACATCAAAGAAATTTAGACTTGTAATCAATATTGTAACATTTGCAATTTGTCCATGCTCCTCACTAAACGGTATTTTCAAATGTGTCAGTGTGTTTCTTGTATTGTCCTAGACTATATACTAGACGGTAATTAATAAGATTCACGTGCTTCTCACAGCCACGGCGCACGGGATCGTAAAAGAGCTATGACTATGAACTGGGAAAAATTGATATTGTCAATATTATATAATATATTGAGTTCAGTACAATATATCGAGTGCTGATGCAGTCTAGTAACTAAATAGACAGTTTCCATGCTGTTTTGAGTGATTACTACGTGTGGTGTCGTGGCTCTTTCTGCAGAATATTATTCTGTTTTTGAACCAAGCTAAGCTAAGCTACTATACTATACTGGCAATGCAACTGGATCGTGATAGATCTTGTAATGCGTCCTAAAATTAAATACTTCAGTTCCAAAATAATTGGGCGACGGCCCTGGCCCTCTCGCACGTACAAATTTTTCGCTTTCAAATTGATGGCAATGTTTTCCCCAAATACACAGTAAATAGATGATACATTTATATTTTAGGGAGCAGTGGACAGTGGGAGGAAATAACACAAAACTGCTACATTGACTGTGAGCAATGTCTCGCCTCACCCTGCATAAGAACCGTTCACTTAGAACACAACCCTGTGTACGTCAGCTACAGTGGAGTGCAAGATTCTACCAGATATGTTAACTTCTATGATCGACAGGGCGACCACATTGGCTGGTTTGTGTGGGATATCCGGTTAGGTCAGTGTTTAAAAAAACATTTTTCCCCTATTATTTGTTTGCAATCTCCAACTGTAAATCCCCTCAATCAAACGTCTCAATAGGAAGGGGAGCTCTCCTGAAGAAATATTATTTCCAACTTGATGAGAGCTTTCTTCGAGTAGGACTCCACCAAATTGGAACGAATTTCATTTTTTTAAAAGTGCCACCTGGATTGCGAATGCAACAACACATGAACTCTGATTCATTAGATAAAAGGGGCCTACCAGTAAACTTTCAGTTTTAAGGGTTTCACTAAATTTAAAGTTTTCTCATTAAATCTGCAGTAATATCATGAATTAACAATATTTTAAAAACCTCTTTATAACTGAGTAATGAGTTACATACTCACTCTCAGGCGTGTACGTACACCGCTGTGGCACCTGGAACGCAGCCACGTTTGTCTCAAACAGACAGTATCAAAATGGAAAAAACGAAGTCTTCTGGCGTGAATGGAGAATACTGAAAAATAAAACAAGTTTTTCGCTCTACTTGAACAAGGAGGTGGTTTATCACCTCAATTTTGAAAGGTAAAACTTGGTTCATGATGTTAGGGCCCAGGCGGACCCTTAACCCCAACTTTAAGCCACAACCTTTTAAAATTAACGGCTAACAGTTACCCGTACCGAAACTCTACCTTAACTAGGGCTCGAGGCACTGGCAAACAAATAGCTCCAATACAGGGCAGAAGACGGTTACCGTAAAACTTCGTAACCAATTCCAATGTGTATTTGATAGAAATGAAAAGGACTTCGGACTTGGACGCGAGTTGACACACGCTGCAAGCCCTTTTTGCGCGCGGCAGCCGGTCTTGCTACTAACATACGTGTCGATGTATATAAGTATAACTATAACTATATTATAACTAATAGTACTAGTAGCAAGACACGAGTCAAACTGAATGTCATAAGATTGACGCATTTAAAAAAGCGTACCATTGACGTGACCTATTAGAGTTAGACGATTAGCTTTCCCGTAGTTAAATGGCTTATAAGTAGTAAGTGAGAGCTTATTTTCTGTTAGAGCTTGAGTTATAACATTGACACATGTATCAAACCTGTCTCAGTGGGAGAGTCCCACAATTATAATGTGTAATGGAGCTCAGAAATGCTTATCTTGTCTAGTCAGACTTGCTTGATGAATTACCAAAGCGTGCGTGGGTCGTGGCTACGATGATCACCCTAGACAATCGGTTAATAAAAATAAAAGTCCACTTTGCGTAATATGCTTTAACTTTAAGTTTAAGGTTAATACTTTTAATTCCACTGCGATATCACAAGATCAAGACACGTGCACGGGCACGTGTGGGTTCTTTCAAAACTAGAGGAAGATCATTTAGTTCTTAATAAATTGTTTTTTGTGCAGACCCTGTCAAACTGTCTATTTCTATGACATATTGTGAGTTTAGCGCTAGAAGTGGAACTAAAAGTAGAACTGTGCGTTAACCGCGACCGATATAAATGCTGCAAATGTTTATATCTATAATCGACCACAAGTGGCGGCCCCAGCCCCACGAATCACGTCGCACTTCACGGGTGAAAGGCGATCATGTTGATGTAGTAAAGATTTATAACTGAGCACTGACTCGCAGTCAGAGCTGCTACCCAGTGGGAGGGGGGGGGGGGACGCCAATAGGCAACGTCACGCCACTGCTGCTACCTGCAAGTGCAGCTCTCAGTTAAAAATCATTGCACAATAAACAGGTATGACCTGCGAAATTGCAGTAAGCAATATTTTCAGCGGAGGTGATGGTTGTAACGCGACGTGGTCAGGAGAAAAAGTAGGGGGAGTGGCGTTCAGTGGTCTAACTGGAGCTCGGTGGAGGACCGAATACCGGGAGATAGAACCACTGTCTGGTGCACCTGGTGGATTGGTTACGAGACTACCTGTTACCAACTACTACCAGCTAGTTATTGGTAAGGTGCCAGGCGTGTCACGGGGTACTCATATTCATATCACTCATAGTCATTGTTTCATTATATATTTGCAATGTCAAGTTGTCAACCTAAGCAACAATTTATAAACCATGTCTCCAGATATTGATCAGTTCGGTTGAATACCACTAGTTATATGATTAAGGTTTAATGAAATCAGAAATAAAGCACCAGTTTAGCTGAGCACAGCGTGAGATATTTGCTTTATGGTTTATGATTTATAGCATTTTTGACAAGTGTCACTTGAAGAGTAAAATACACGTTCAACAGATGGGTTATTAGTCTAGAGATCGCCATAATCTGTCAGTTAATAAAACCGAAATAGGTTTCTAAGAAATGTCTGTTTATGCCCAATTTTCCTAGGGTTGTGTCGTATCTCATTTATCCTAATATCATATATATGTAAGATAAATAAGGTTAATTCAATGTTTCCACCGTTCTTAGATACTACATAATTATATATATATATAGACTAAATAATAAGCTGAAATCTGTTTCACAAAATTCAAAAGAAATATTTCAACAAAACCATAATTCAAGAACTCAAAAATAACAATAAACCCTCAAAAACAAAATCCTTAAACAAGATATCTCAAACAAGTTGGACAAACTGAAAGAGTCATCAAACTTTTCAATAAACTCCGGAAGAGTCCTTTAACTTATCTCCCTGTCAAAACACCTGAAAACTTTACAACAGCGGTCGTGAGGATCAGGAACCAGTCTGGGAAGTCGACAGTGAGGTGGCGGGAAGGGTCGACCACACCGGTTAATGCAGGACTCCCCTCCGGAGACGCAGTAACATCTGACCTCACAGTCTTCAAACAGGAGGTCTCCTTCTGCAACCATCTCTCCTTCAGGTGACATGCAATCTGGGAGAGTGAGGGGTTATTGAGGGGTTATTGTGGGGTTATTGAGGGGTAATTGTGGGGTTATTGAGGGGCTATTGCGGAGTTATACAAATATGCTAAAATTGCGGAGTTTTTATCCAAAATTTGTTTTACAGTCAAGAACTATCCAAAAGAACCATCAGAAACATTCAGAAACAATCGCTGACCCCAAAACCTCATTTTGGGGACCCCTTTAAATGCTGAAATTTGTCATTTTTCCGACGAAAGTGCTGAAAAAGTTCACATTCTTTATCGGACCTAAGCATATATTTGTCAGAAGATGGTAGAATTCTACATGGAATGTGAGAACAATGAAACAGAAATTGTCAAATGCGAGGTCAAACACATCTTAAAATTCGACAAAAATAGGTCAGAAATCAACAGCCGATATGAAAATTCACTAACGTGTTTCTGTATTTCCAGGAGTAGTGCTGAAGTATGACGTCACTGGGCTCTCACTGGTAGGTTTTATATCTCTTGTGGGGAGGCAGGACACGGAAATAAGGAGCAGGGAGGAGAGGAGTGTGAGGAGAAAGGAGGAAATAGTCCTCATCGTCATGTAACGATCTTTACCTGCACAGTGCACAAGTGTGAGACTTCGTAATTTTAAGATTGTGGAAATTAGTCAAGAATCCTGGTTAATATGAATAGCAATAAAGTGCACAACTATTTACTTAAATAAATTGATTCTGCAAAATGTTGAGTTTATGGAACCATCGTTTACCGATAGTTTATAAATAAACTTTAAGATGTTGGTAAGTGGTGGACTGTATACCATCAATATAAATGTAGTTAAATATTGTGATCATGCATGGTTAGCTTATAAAATTGACGTATTACAGCTTTAACTTTTCAACGAAAAAAATTGCAAGGAAGAATCCGTTGGCTGCTCATACTGCAAACAGGCATCAAAATACAAAAATGTCCACGAAAGCGAGTTCAATAAAAAATAAGTAAATCTAGTTATAATAATAAAACAACAAAGTACAGCATGTACTCGGCTACAAGAAACGAGCTAATATATAACCAGCTGTCACAAGAAAACTCAATTTCATGATACGCACAGGTACACACCTGATGCTAAATCCGGAGTTTCGTGTGATTGTAAGTCAGGAGTCTGTAAACAACTACAGCTGCCCTAATGGAAATTCTTTGCTGGACTGGGGTATGAATAAGGCGGTCGAACTATTCAATGACCCAGTAGGGGAATCTACGAATCTCTCCAAAGTATCCGAAGTAAGAGTCCTGGTTATGGCTGTAGAGAGGGGCTGGAGTCTGGTTTTATCTCCTCGGAATCAGTTTTTCTCGCATGAGGGCGGCGGCACACCCTCCCTAACCACCTGGGATATAATTTAGTCTCATTACGTCGTTATATTAACTAATAAGTCACTTAAGTGTCGGAGCTAACCAAGCGGGTCGGAGTATGATGTTGTAGGAAAGTTAAAACTTGTGAGTCTGGGAGAATTTGACATTCTTTAGCTGGCATGACATAAGTTGCAGCTGTATGCCAGATTCTATTTAGATCAAGCATGATCTTATCACTTGTTTACATCCAAAAAGTTAACAGTACAGTGAGCTACTATTTTTGGTGAGGTCTTATTGACAATAATGTGAAACTGCGTAAACGAAGTGCCCTTCTTAAATCAATTTATTCTTGATACATAAGGTAATTTATTCTTTTTAATCTCACATACAAGTACCAAATTATGATACACATAAATAACACATGTCTTATGCTCTTTTCAAGAATTATCCGGTCCTTAAAAAAGTTATACCCGAGGGAACCTATGAAGACAACAATTCTTGTCACTGTAGTAAAACGGAAAAATGGTTGGCAAATAATAACAATAGCCGGCTGTTACGGTAACAGCCCCTTAACAGCCCTCTTACAGCCGGCTAATAGCCATATTCCTAACCAGATAACTACATTTGCGAGAATGGAGAAAACGGTTCCTCGCCGTTTACGCTATTCTTGACATAAAAACCTCGAATGGTTATTGGTTAAAATGGTGTAAAACTAAATGGAACAAATGGGCATGTATTTATCATGCTCAACTGATTTGAGATGACCTGTTTATATCTCTATTACCAGCCTCTTAAAATCGCGATAGGATGCGAGTTGCTGAAATTTCATTTGATGACAAAATAACCGGGGAGTTAACGAGATAATTGCTCATGATTATCGTTGACATTTAGTATTCGCTATACTTTCAGGTTCAAGTGGGCGTTTTGATCATACGTTAGGTAGCTATTAGTAACAATTATATAGTAGATCTTAACAATAGATAGTAGCTGTAGTAACTGTGGTTCAGGAAACATATTGGGTGTAGGTCGTTTGCTTAAATAGATCAGAATTTAATATGTATGTGGTATTTATGTGGTATGCGGGGTATGTCCAAAATATGATGGCCAGCTTATTAGTTTATAAATGATCATGTAGGATATTAGGCAACCTGATACGGGCCAAAATTTTAATAATCTAGGCAGCTGGGGTAAATGGTTCTACAGTACTTTTACCTCCTGTCTCAATTTCTGAGGTGTCAAAAACTGGACGCTTTATTTCGACGGTATTTATTTCTGAACCGCGCCAGATGACGTTATCTTCTCTTTATCTTCCGCTTATTTAAAAGACATAATTAATTGACACCCCTCCGTATGCTTAAACCAACCTATTGAATGCTTAGCATTCTTTGAATAGCTAATATCCCGTTACGTGTACGTGACACAGTTGAAATTGCAAAGAAATCCCGCTCCCCGTACAGTTGTATGTACCGTATTAGATTTGGGCATTGAATTTCATTTGTGAATGGTTGATACAATGTGTTGGTTGCCATGGCAGTCAGTTTATCGGACACCATCCCTTTGTTGTTAGCTGTTTGGACTATATAATTGTAGTTTATCCGCCCGTTTCACTTGATCCTCGCTTTGATCTCTACTTCGTTGTTTATTGGTTGATAAGCTTGATTTGAAAATAAATGCGTGAAAGCACGTGTGAAGATAAACCTATATTGGGCGATGTTAATGGACCTGTGTCCTGTGCTGTGCACATGAAGTGAATTGACACTTTTATTTACACTGTCTCCGAAATACGAGTATTTTCAGATCCCTAGATTACGATCGTATCTTTTATATGGCATCTCCTAGTGCTAAGCTACATAACCCATTACAATAAGACTTTCATGAGATTGACGCAGGCTGCAATGATTACCTGATTTAAATATCACAAAAGTTACACAGTTAAAGTTGACTGCTTCAGTACAAACCCGTGCCAGATCCCTTGATATTATTTTCTAACCGCTTAGCGTATCGGAATGTCATTTAACCACCCCATGGCTAGTGTGGCATTGCTCCAAACTGAATTTAATATCAATCAAGCATGAGAGTTTCTTGGGGAACTGGCTTATCAAGTTGGTCAATACCATATCCAGATCACTGCTAACTCAATACATCTCGTATACATAATGGAAAAAACATCGTTTTAAAATATTTTCCTCGAGGTAGATCTCCATCACGTCTGCCCAATAATTAAACAGAGCTCAGCAGAGTATTACACGTGCACATTGGACAAAAAACACGAGATAAGAAGTTAAAGTGGAGATTATGGCACGTACCACTTGGAGGATCTGAGAAGATATACAGTATCTCGTGATATATCTCGGACTATCTGAATATGACAAGTCTCGTGCTGACCACGTTGAGAAAATTAATTGGATAGAGCAGTGGGAGAGAGAGAGAGAGAGACTGAGAGAGAGACGTATTATACAAGTCAGCGACACTTTTAGCTCACTCCTTAGCATACCCTGCTGTGCCAGCTCAATTTCATGTTTCACTTTTTTTGAAATATTTTGTTTGGTTATGTTGTATTGTAGGGTGGTGAACTTGCTGAGCTAGTCCACACAGGGACAATATGCCGGTGAAGAAAGGAAAGGGGAAGAGCAAGGGGAAGAAGAAGAGTAAGCCGAACACACCTAAGAAGCACATGGCAGGGGAATTCCCTCTTACCGAGGAACAGATCGCAGAACTGAAGAAAGTTTTCAATCTCTTCACCAAAGGAAGTACGGTAGAATCTTACTTTGATTTGATAAATATATACTCACACAATTTATTTGGTAGCAGAACACCACGTAAGATCAAGTATAATTATAATGCAGCAAATGGCAAATTTTACATGCGAGTCAATTTGTAAGGCACGCAAAACATTTAGCTTATAATATTTGTTTCCAGAGGGAGGTCACATCAAGCTGGATCAGCTGGGTCAGGTGATGAGGGCGGCCGGCGGTGTGCCTAGCGATCAGGAGATCAACACTGTGGTAAACGAACTGACAAACATGGACAAGACTTCAATATCATTCCTTGAGTTTAGGTACAGTTGATTTATGATCAAGAGATTGCTATTTCATTAGGTACATTATCTGCAGGTATAGGGATAGGTTGCAAATTCATGATAAAATCCCACTTGGATCTCAGAGAGTTTTGCATTTTAGAGTCACCGGTCGCCGGTCGCGGTCGCGACTTACAGTTCATCCCTCATATTCTAATAATTATTAAACGGATTTAAACACTTCACGTTAGTTCGCAGGGTCAGAAGCAACATGCTTCATGCAGGACTGTCTACACTTCGGACATGTTGGTTATTAAAATGGAAGGTTATAGACTGGTGGACATGTCAGTTATCTCAACCTGAATATTATAAAAGTTATAATTTTATGATTTTCAGTGAGATTATAGCGGAGCACAGGAACAGGCATGGTTTCTTGGATCAAGAGCTCAAGTAAGATATTTTTAGAGTCACAATTGTATCTAGGTTAACGAACTGTATAACTAATATTTATTACTTCCATGGAAGTAACTATTTAAATATGTCTCGCCGATGTTTCTGTTACAGTTAGCTATTGATTAAGAAACAGCAAAAAAGGTTACGATCCTTCCAATTTTCCTGTTATCATTCATCATGGTAACTTCTCATTACGATATAAACCTCATTTCATGTTAGAACCGTCCCAGTGAAAAACAAGTCGTCCCATAAAATTCGCAAAACTTCAAGATTTATCACACTTCCAAAATTACCCAAATTAAATAATTTCAGGCACCATCAATTCTAGATTCTCATGGGTCCCGGAGAAATCCATTATCATAAAATCAATTATTCAATCATTGACGTTCACAGTAACTGAAGGTATTGTCTGTGGACCATGACTAGAATAACTGTCGCACATATCATCATGTTAATCTAATGATCATTCGTGGTGCGGTTTGGATTGCTCCTAGCTCTAATTATAGATGGATGAAATTTGTTTCTTGATTTTTATGCAGAAGCTCTAAAAGCAGTTTTTTAAAAGAAAGAGTCTTGAAGGTTATCCATAAAGCAGATAATTCGTGAAAGCATGATTATGATGATGGCTAATACTAATCGGCTATTGTATTTGTATGGTAATCAGTCGTATTTTCAAGTCGGTTTGGGTATATTTTATTACAACCCATACTAACGACACTCAGTTCCTCCTTATTTTCCGTTTACAAATTACCGCTATGCTCATGCAGTTATACCGTTATTAGGTTATTAGTATTTCTGTAGCACTAGATAGCAGTTCACCAGACTGTTGACCAAACCCTATAATTACACAGCTGTGGGGCAGGGGGGTCAAGAGAAGCTAAATCAATAACCACACATAAACTGCATCTACTATCTAGCGTTATAATCGGGCTTGCCAAGGAACTGAGCCACAAGGTAAAACCTTGTTTGTCTTATAGCACACGATAGTTTACCATTACACACTACACCAGGGAAGCGTTCGAGATATTTGACGACGACGGTGACGGCTACATAGAGTGTTCGGAGTTGATAAGAGTACTGACTGCTATAGGAGACACCCTCTCGGACAAGGAGGCTGACGAGCTGATCAAGGAGGCTGATCTTAATGGAGACGGCAAGATTAACTATGTTGAGTTTGTGGGCATGACTTGTAAACCTAAGTGAGAGCAGTTAGTTTATAATGAGATGAGAGATCAGTTGCTCATCTGGGCATGTGAAGATTATTGAGAAACCAGAACAGTTCTTGATGCATATATTAATATATATAGAAGATTGAGATGGTAGCTTTAAGCTTACAGAGGCTAGGGCGTGTGACTTGAACGCCAGCTGCTCAATTAAGAGATTCATATTCAGTAGGAGGAGACGTCATGAGGAACGTTTAGTCTTTAGATGATAAAGATATGGAACTCAAACAGAGTTCAATTGCAACGATTTTATACTGTAGCTAATTTAGCTGAACATTTGGTTCGGGATGACTTTAAATCAGGAAAATTGTTGTTAATGTGGTCGATTAAAAATGGTAGACGGAATTGAAGATTTGTGTTTGTCTAGTGTCTACAATAAATTGAATTTCCAGCGGTGGCTATAATTAGGTATGAGATATGGATTCTGATGGGAGTTAAGGCATATTTGTTTAATTTATACACGAGTGAAGAGCAGAGTACGAAAGCAGGATTAAAAGAAACACAAAGCAGGTAACCAACACGAAGAAACAATCATCACAAACGGGCCGATTCGTGACCCATCCCGAGCAACCGATAGTAATCGAGGTGTTACGTCACGTGACCAATCGCGTAATAGGAGTAAGTTAACGGACGTTATCTGCATTTGTTTACCTTCCTTATCTGCATTTGACCCTCTGTTGAGATGGTTATTAGATATTTGTGCAGCAACTAAAGAGTTGGCTGAAGAAGTAATTTCGTTTCTCGGAGGCGGTTTGTGGTGGTTTCGACACGTAACATTATTTGACTCGTTTTATTTAGCTCCCCGATAAAATACAAGTCACTGATGTTGTAAAATGAAAGGTACAACTTAACAATAACATAACTTGTAATATTGAGGTAAATTAATAATAGGGTTGAGTAATTCTTTAGGTTTCTATAACAGTTTTTACTGGTGATTATATCTGCATGTAAGCGTCCGTTTAAAGTGATTTAATTAAGATTACACTATGACACCGACAAGGGTTACATTTAGTGTAGCTTTATCGGTGGTTTTAATCTTTAAGAGGCACTACGTGTTGAATTGAGGACGTGGCCAGTGTCTAGACATGTGTCTAATTAATGGAGTTCACGATTGTGTCACTGTCAGTCCACCTGCAGAGGGCCAGAGTTTATATGGGCTCAGTGGTGTGAGGGCCTTTTTAAGTCTTGTTGAAGAGTGAGATCTCTTGTATGTCATTTTCACAGTTTTTATATTTCACCGAATTTTTTGGATAACTTTTTCTCTTCAATTCCAATTAGCTTAAACTTAAAGTTTGTAGTGAGAAACGATAGACGCCCGTTGCTCCCGTTACGTAACACCTTGCTATTGGTCCCTCGGGATGGGTCACGAATCAGCCCGTTCATATTATAATTTAGCTGTGATGATTGTTTCTTCGTGTTGGTTACTGATTTGTGTTTGAAGTTGAACTGCAAAATTTTAAGGGATAATTAAGCTTTATTGGGTTCTGAAACCTAGTTTAATAGATTTTCGTGCAATTGTAGGCGAGAAATAGTCCTCAAAACGAGTAATTAATGACAAGGTCGGTTTTAACTTTTTCCGGTTATTCTCAAGCTCTCGATCAAAATATAATTCTAAACTTTCATAGATGATAGGGGGTAGCAAGAGGTACAGTGTACAGGGGTTACAAGAGTTACAACAGTCTGCATCAATAGGTCTCAATTTATACTCCAAATTGATCATTAAAATTCTAAAAACTTATTTGGCTGTGTATATTTTCCTATAGCTTTACTGACAGCCTTATTAGATTGAAGTGGCTCACACTGTTTATATCTCTTCAGGGAGATTTGAGGTCTCTCAACCTTACTTAGTTGAGTGTGTCCCACAACCAAGCACCCCATGTCTAGAATTCCTGCGTTATGTAGTATAATGATCCTGGATCTAAGTGGCAAGTAGCTGTATATCAACAAAAAATATATATATATATTAGATTGAACCAACAGTTTATGGGCCAATAATGCCGATATAAATAGTACGTCCCATACCTACCACAAACGAGTCCCTTATTATGATGGAAGATACCTCAGTAATTCGTATTACATATGATTCCCCCTGTATTTGATAACAGCGATAAACTGCAACAGACCATGGCTTCTTTGTGAAATATCACAGAGACAGCCCTTTCAGTTTTCTAGACAGAGAGACCTTAATTTGAGGACCAGGTATGCCACAATCATTCGCTGCACGTGCTCATATGACGGCCCACGTGCTCCGCTAATGGAAACGTGATTACGCGTCACAGAACCACGTGATAATATGTCGCGACCTTCACGACTTTGCGTTAACAGAAACAGTGTCAACATCAATTTGTAACTGAAAACCTCGCAAGCCTTTATAATGTCTGGGACGCGCTCTAGTTTCTACCAACAAATACAAGTGCACATGTGTCCCGACTCTGCCGACGCCACTTTTCCTCGCAGAAGTATATTTCCGGGACCTACTTCAAAGATATACGTCCGAACAACACGCCGTGTTATCAGTAGAGCCACGCAGAAGTTAGCCCGATAACCCTTCATGGTGATAAAGTTAGCCGGCGGTCATGCTGCTAGCTGGGCCGGGTCCCGCTCCTCTCAATTTCTACAACAATAGGGCTGGCTAATTAGCGGCGGGGTAATGATCCCCTACAAGCCCGTGTCTGGGCACACACAAACACTCACTTCTGAAATCCTAATTAGAGAATTATTGTATTCCACCAGACTCTGTCTGGTAAGATTAGCGGATGACGAGTGGGAAAGGTGAAACGTTATCACGTGACGGGGAGACGGGGTCAGGTGACCTGATCACGTGCCGGTAATTACACCACAGAGACCCGCGGCGGGGAGCAGACGTACATCACACAGTCTGAGGTCACTAGTAGCCCGGGACACTGTACAATATTTCCCTGTTCCTGCCCTGCCGTTTTGTGTGGAACAAGGTACTTCTTTTCGAGCTCAGTTTAAAACTTTTGTCAAAGCACGATCCTTGAGAAGGTTCATAACGGGAGTTGAGGCATTTTCACGCCTTTAAGACCGTTATTGTTTCTTCGCTTTGCCAGGAATGTGGTTAGCTACATGAATGTATGATAACGGTGTTCCGTTTTTGTAACTTATGTTCACGTGGCCAAATCTGCTCTTGAGTATCGCTATCAGTTCTAATATTGCGCTCCTTGATGAACTGCAGCGGCACCAACTCGCCCCGTTCTTTCCTCATGTGTTCCTCTGTTATTTACTGTGGAATGTAGGTGGACTATCTAGATCAACGAGTTTCTTTCATTGTGCTATTTCTCATTGTGTTCTAAGTGAGGTGCTGGAGATAAGATTAATATAGTCCTTCCACAAGGAAGTGACATTCTTGTCATTCTATTCCTGGATATTTCATGGTAAATAAACAAGATCAGAATTGAATGATCCTGCTGGAGAGGCAGACTCATGACACTCAACTTTAAGTCTCGATTGAACGCGAGAACTGTCTCATATCGTTATGTCTCACCTGAGTACCAGCCTGGTGAGAAACCTACACCTGTTGTAAGTACCCACTTAAATGGACCAAGTCCTTTAAAACCGCAAATTTAACATAAGTTATAATGCTCATAATGTATACCTTCATAATATTGGAGATTAAGTAGTAAGTACTCAATCTTTAGCTGTAACGTCTAGTAGTTCTACTCAGTACTTTAATTGTTCCCAGCGGATCAGTCGACCTACGTCAGTATTCATATTAAATTTGATTGGCGGGGGACCGGCCCATGCCTCATCAGAGGTCTAGACTCAGTCTGGCAATGGATTATAACAATAGCGGTCCCTGCTCATAGCTTCTCGTACGTTGCTGTGTGGATCTAGTGACTATGTCATGGTTTGTACAATATACTCCGCCCTTCAGGCCCAGAATTAGTTTTCATCCTTTGTTGTTGTGACGTCGTTGGCGGGACGTTTTACTTTTCAGTACTGCTGCATAGAGTTCAACATCAAATGTGGACATATATTTGATTGATATAAGAGTTGCCTCAACTTTGTGAGGCTCTAAATGGGTGTTACCAAACCGCACAATACTATTGCTGTGGTGGGCCATGAAATTTTGTATAATTTAGCACAGCTGCAGCGTGGCTCGATCTGAACAGTCCGCTCTCTAATGACTCAGGTCTCTTGCAGAGGCCACTTAAACCATCAAAGCAATATAGATAAACACATCCCAAATTAAGGACGATCCGGAGTTACTGCTCGACGGCCGGTCTCCGTAAGTTGGTCCTAGAATCTAGATCTGGATTATGATAAGCGAGGCTCAATTAGAATCTCCTACTGGATAATGAGTTCTATTTCGGGCAGGGGAAAGAAAGAGCACACATCGTAATTGCTATACAGATTGATGGAGCCCTTAGGCCAGGTCATCTGACTAGGAGGCTAGCCACGTGGCACTGGAGTTGCATACTAAACACTCACGTGACCGAGAAATGACCCCCCATTGGGCGGGTTGGGGTATAACCGCATCATTAATCTCGAGAGAACCATACAGAAATTAGCCTTAAAATGAGCCGGGAGGCTGGTATAAACAGTCCCATGCAAATCAAATCACAACAAGGCAGAGTGTCTGTTCTCTTACTTCTATAGTTGGAGTTGTCCTGCTACTTTGCTCTGTTTTGTAGACTGGCTGGCGGTGTGAGCGAGCACTCTCTTTGCTCATGCTGCTGGTGTAATAAACACACACCCTCGCTAATGGGAATCCTCTTAGCATGCTCGCGAAATGTTGCCGCTAGACTGCCTGTCACGAGCTTTCGACTGCCAGCTTGAGCTCTAAAAAAGCTTCTTTGTTGTGCTATCGGTTCTAGTCTAGCAACGTGTACAATGGGATTCAAGCTAGGATGATAACACCGAATTATCAGTTTGCAATTAGATGTATCATGGAGGCGGTGCACCTTTAGCAACGTGTAATTGCCCTGCTTGTATTAAGATTGCAAATCGCCCTTTTCACCTCATTAATACCCCGCTCTGTTGAGCTCTATTAGGTCCCTTTGTACGCCATTGTGCCACTCTTACACACACACACACACACAACACTGCTGCCGCACGCTGTTTCGTCGCTTTTGTTATCTTCGTTACCACTCCAGATCGTCGATTGATGTTCTGCCATTACACAATTCCTTCTCTCGTCGTACCTCCGCTTTCTTTTCGGAGACTGAATGACAGGTCTTCATTGACATGACATATACCGTCTTGTTTTGTTGTGATACTATACATCTTTGTGTGACAGCATGGGAGACTTGTCTCTTTGTATCAGTTTATGGTAGGAAAGCTCGGTGAAACATTGCTGTGCTTAGGATTCTTTCAAAAGACGTGTTTGACAGGGCATTTCTCGGAGAGAGGCTTGTGAATTAAATAGCCAATTGTTAGCTTACCTTCAACTATTGTTCGTTAGTAATAGCTGTGAATTGCGATCTCTTTAGACTGTATAGTCTACAAACTTGCATATCAGACTTCACCACGCCATCTAATTTGTATTGATACGCAACTTTTAGACGTTAACTCATCAGTAACACCGATATGAAACCCATCTATTCGCCACTCGTTACGGGTTGAGACGTTTGCTATGAGGAACACAAACCGGAAAACATTCTAGATTTTGCTATCCGGCTGATAATTGAACTTGGCGCCCGGAATCCTCCAATAAATGAACGAGGTCTGAAATGGACCTTGAAGTAGACCGTCTGTCGATGAAATATTTGAAATAGTTGAGCTTTTTAGCCAGTGGTCTGGTCACGTCTGAGCGAACGCAGAGCACTTGCTGCCACATTCTGTTTGACAGATCCTGTTTACATCTGTCATCGACCCAGCAATATGCAGTTCTAGTTCTGTCTGGAATACTCAGGTCCAGCGAGTATATTTGAAATATATTTAGTTCGCTGCTCATTTTTGTTGTTATATAAATAGAGTTGTTATAGCAGTTTGGCTGATAAAGTTGTGCGAGTGCAGCTGTGGTAAGGCATTTTACGATTACATTTTACCCTAACCTCATGAATCATGATATACCCCTGTAAATTAACCAATACAATTTATTACAGAATGAATTTCGAGCCAGCTGACCCACCGTTATTAGACCCGTTTATTCTGGAACGATTCACAGAGGAGGAGATTAGGAAACAGGAACAGACGCTCAGACATAAATATGTTCTTAAAAAACTCGCAGATTTTCTGCCCAAACAGAACAATTCAGTGAAAGAGAACAACGTCAAGCAGCAAGTTCAGGACCTGATCCAAGATTCAGTGAATTCTCATATCAGCAACCAACTCACTTCTCAGCTCTCAAATCAGCTCTCGAACTTTCCATTGTTTCCCTACCCCGCCGGTCTATTCCCGCCAAATGTGCACGTCCAGAACTCTCCAGCACCCTTCAGTTTTCAGTCCAAAGACTCTCCAGTCCCCTTCAGTTTTCAGTCCAAAGACTATCCAGCTCCCTTCAGTTTTCAGTCCAAAGACTCTCCAGCTCCCTTCAGTTTTCAGTCCAAAGACTCTCCAGCTCCCTTCAGTTTTCAGTCCAGAGAGACCCTACCCCTGTTATCAATGTCACAACAGAGCCAGGTGACGAACATAAGACCTCCATCACCACCGTCACCCCACCGTCAAGCCAACGTGATAAAACCTCGTGCTACCAAACGCTTCACCTACTCTCAATCAGCCGTGCTGGAAGAGTTCTTCCAGAAATACGGGAGTGCCAGGATTGTGGACCGTATTGCCCTGGCTCAGAAACTGGGCCTGTATAAGAACGATGTGATCGGTTGGTTTCAGTCGAGGAGGAGAAAAGAGAGGAGAGCTACCAGTGGGGGGAGCACTTACTCGCAAGCTACTGTCGATCAGAACAATTTCGCTCAGAACGGAAATATCGCGCAAATATGTTCGTCAGGAGTTCGTTGAAATCCGTTTCGACAGAATGCAGCAGTAACAGTCAACACATTATTTGTTTTAACAGCAGCTCAAATTTTGATGATGAAAAGTTCGAAGACTTGTAAAGTTTAATAATAATGCTACGAAATTTGATCTGAGGTGTACAGAATGGGTTTTAATTAGATTACACACCTTTGGTACAGAAATGTGACATAAAACCGGACGAAGATTATGAAATGTTATTCAGTAATTTTGCGGCAGGGGCAGTTCGAAGCTGTCTGTTTTATTGGCATGGTTTTAATTTTGCAGTGTAAATTGTTGTGGTGCATGTATTTTTTTTCCTTGATGTTAGTTAAGCTTATTTAATTTACATTTACTACAAACGTTATTCAGAATTCAACAGTTTTAATTTTGTTCTTCGTCATAAATTATCAGCAATAAAAAGTGCTATCTTTGAAATCGATAACATTAAACATATATTACAAGTTACGTCTATCGACGTATCTTGCGAATTATCGAAAAGGAAAGATAATGAATGCAAATCTTTAAAACTCCAGAATGAAATATGAAAACCACAAGTAAGACTACTCTGTAGCGCATGCTTCTAACAAGGACACATTAGTGGTGAGGAGCTTCACTGTTAAGATGTGATCGAATTTGGGGCAGCTCTATATGGCCCGATAAACGCATTTGTAACAAGTGTAACTCGAATTATTCACCGTCGTTATTTTATTTTATCATGCGGTTCTGCAATTTGAAGCCGGTACAAGTCTCAGTACTATAGTCTGATTTTATTTTGTTTCTGGCTGTGATTTTATTTCGTTTCTGGCTGACTATGCAGAGCCATTCTGTCTCTTGGTTTCTTCTGCGGAGTTGATTATATTGCATTGTTGTTGCAATTATAGTTATGATTGTCTTTCCGCGTTTACACCATTCGTGAATGGTGAACAATCATTGAAGTATGTAGAATTGATTGGACGATTGTTTTGAACACTGTTTACTGTACGTGATGTCGTACATTCTAGAAGTTTCTTACGAATAATTCGTTGCAGTTAATGGGTTTTATAACAAAAATCATCCAAACTTTTCGCAGATCAACATTGGAAATGGAACAGCAGTATTAAATTTAAACCCAGGTCCCAGACAGTGAAAATTTTACCATTACGAATTTTATTGTGATCAGGGAGTAGCACGCGTCGAAAGATATTTAGGCTTATATTTGGGTTAATAAATGTTCGATTAAACTCTAAAAGATGGTGGCGGCTGAATCAAACAATAATTTTTTAATAATTGTCAACTATGGAAAATGGAAACAAAGGGTTGTTAAAAAGAGAAACGATTAAATCGGTTCGAATGAACAGTCGTTAAACTTGAATTCGTGTTGACTTGAATTCGTAAAAAAAATACGATCATTACATCGGAAACATGGCGCCTTAATTGACTGTTACAAGATCGAGAGTGCCACCACTGTTGGTAACAGTTCCAAATAGAGTGCAAGATCGTGCACAGTAGAGTAGTTACAGTAACACAATGAACAAATCATCCCACAGTTGTTATGATTTAGGAGTCATTGAAACTGCTTGAGTGCATGCTATCATACTATAACGGACCTCTCAGAATCTCAGATTCACAGCTAGAAGACCAAACAGAAAGCTTTAAGCTGTAGTTTGCACTTCTTTATCTTCCCATTGAATGGTGTTTTATCGGTAGAATGGAAAATTTAAATTCCTGCTCATCAAAATGGAAAACAATTATATCCATTGATGCATGGCATTATTTTGGACCCTGTTTAAATATAACTGAACAACAAATATAATACTGACAATGGAAATTAATGCTCACAGGTGCACATATTTCAATTTCTAGTTAATTTACGTTCTTAAACAGTCTGCCTTTCTTTTAACAAACGAAAATGGTTTTGGAAACTATTCTGGAAGACTCCGAGCTAGGTTTTAATGGCTCCGTGTCCGAAATTAAACCTAAAACACCAGCTGAATCAACCGCCAGATCATATCTACCCCGCATGAGAGCCGCAGTGACTTTGGTAAGAATTTTTAAGGATTTCACTCATTTGACTCGGCAGGATCATAAAAATGCAGTGGCTACATCAATATATAAATTATCACTGGCTACATCAATATAGCCAGCCTGAATACCTATTTGTTTTATGTGAGTACTGAGTGTATTCATTTTCAATCTTTATTAGCACGAACATAGAACTGAGAGTGAGAACTCGGCCCGCTGTGTGCTAATTAAGAACAATAGGTGGTGCGTCAATAAACAATAAAGCAATAAGTGTTAGCCCAGTAGAAGTAAATGTATCTATTATATTATCTAATCAATCTATTATAACTTCGGAGCTACTGCGGCGGCTCTACGGTCTACACTCAACAGCCTACATTATCTAAAAATACAAAGTTGGTATTCAATGATATTCACTATTCATGACTTATTATAAGTTTCATTTATTATGTACAATCACAATCAAGGCTGAAGGCACAATTTATAATTATAACATAATAGTTTTAACACATCGTGCGTCTCAGGAATTAGGACTAGCAATGACGGAGGCGATAATAAGTGGGAACCAGCTTCACAACGATATTCTTGACGGCAATGAAGAGAAACTGAAAAATGTTTACAGCCAATCTCTGCCAACTATTCACAAAGCTCACATTTTTGACGGTATAGATGTTAGTTTCATCGAAAGAGACATACTCAAGAAAAGCGCACGCTGTAGAAAGAGTCCATTCTCGGACTCCAGTGGTCGGACGAGGGGACAGAATCGAGCATCTCGATCCCTCGCTGCTTCGCCTTTTGGACTTGGAGACAGAATTCCCAAGACTGAAGAAATCGACATGCAGAAAAAATTCAGAGAATTTGAGAAGGACCAACATTTCCAAGTATCACTGACCCAACTCAAAAGACACCCCCCTCCACTGAAACTGAGATCAAGAGAGAACCCCACCTCCTACAACGACTTCCTTACCCTAGAAACCGAGCCAGCAAGACCCCAGGTCCGATCTCCACTTCCTGAGATTACCGTCAGTTCAGTCAAAATGACATCAGAACTGGACCAAACAGAAACCTATCTGGATCTATCAAAAGTTCGAGAGCACGTGGACCGAATTAAGGAGCTGTTGGGGAGAAAGGATTTGGAGAAAGGGAGGACAAGTGAGAAGAGGGGTCCGCTGAGCGCGAGGAGGGGTCTAGTAAGTGGGGGGAGGAGGAGCGTAGTGAGCAGGCGAGTTAACACGGTGGGACCGGAGGTGCTCGGTAGTTGGGATAGGGCCGGATCTGCTCTCTCTACACGACCTGGCATTAATTGAACCTGAACTTATTCCAACTCATTGGAGGACTTCTAGATCATTGAGTTTGGGGTCTGAGGAACTAGCCGGCAGGAATGAACTTTGGTTCTTAATCTTAAGAAGCATTTCCATTTTTACAGTTGATCTTGAAATGCCGTGAAGAAAAGCCAGATTTGATGAAGATTGAACCAATGTCTGTAGATGGGGGAGTGGCGTTTAATAGACATTGTCTGTTAGGTCAGTTATTAACAGTGATCATAATGTGGTGTCCCATATCCTCAAACTGTATCTATGATCAAATTTATGTAATCAGAGCTAAAAATGCATGTGCAGTAATAGTCAACCCAAGATTTATACCAGATTCTCATATCTCACGGACCACAAGCACTGATATTTAGACTAACAATCAGTCAATTGCCTCACATCAGACAACGACACTGTCTGTTTTAGATTATATTGCTATTATTAAGTCCGGAGACAATAACTGTCCGTCGATATTTGTGGTACTGCGGTTTTTACCGTTTATCATTGAGATGGAGCGAATTATTTAAAGTGCATGATACTGATGCACTTTTGGTATACAATGTGATGTTATACTTAAACAAGATCATGTATTGTTGTAAAAATCAAGAAAGTTTGAATGAGATGTGCAACTTACATTGTTCAAAGCTCTTGAAGAATGACCCCAAATCATCGTGAACAATCCGTTAGCTCATTTGACGCTATCTTTGTGGTGTGGGGCATTTTCGTGGTGGTAATTCGTCCGCATGATTCTAGAAACTAGAATTAAGTTAAAAATGATTACATTCAGAAAATTATCTTGTGGTTGCCTCATCAATCAAATTTAAAACTTTGCCACTCCGTGAACGAATTGGATACAATGAAGAATAACATTGGTGCAGTCTTCGACACGTGAGATTTCTTTAAGATTATAATTCCCGTTTTTGTACCAGATGTGCATGTCAGTTTCAGTGTTGAAGCAGTAAAAGGAGTATTTTGAAACAAAGAATTTGTCAGTTATTTGTTGATATAAACAAACTCAAGTGATAAAAATAAATATTCCACGAAGGACATCCTAAATTGCTTAATCTTTATTGCTTGATTAAAAAACAGTCTATAATCACAGGTCATGACGACCAATAATGTTTAGATTAAATTCAATCCCTGACACAACAGTCGGCTCAATACATTTAATACAATTTTCGCTCTTTATAAAAGGTTCTTAGCAATGTTTTTGAAGCATTAAGAAAAATGGGTTAAAATTTGATCATGTAACTTCCATATTCTTACTTTAATCAGAGGAATTCATGGCTACAATGAATCAGATTAGGAGTGTTACCGGATCATAAATAAATATTTAATAATCTCAAACAAAACTTTAAAATTGTACACTTTTAAGACATAAATCAGCAGTTCATAGTGTTTTTAAATAATCCATCATTATTCCGAAACAGCTCGACTAAGTTGCTATAATTCCCGGTATCTTTCAACTCAATATTATAACGAAACAACGTAAATACAATAGGCAATCAAGTTAACTATAATGATGAATCTGACATTTAACATCTTAGGATAAAGGAACAGAAATATAAATTCTAAGAATCTGAGAAGCTATCTTTAACCGGACATTACTCTCACGAAAATTATGTTCACAAGAATATAAAAATTCAACACTTTGTTCCCCAAAGATTTCGTAGTTTATCTGCTTACCTTACTGATGATTACAAACCTATTGTCACTGTGATTGTTCGATTGAGTTTTTATACAAAATGTTGTTAAAATTCCAATCCTAAACGCGGGCTAAAAACCAATTAAATTATAAATTAAAATCACTGCAAAGTTCAGCTCTTAGCCTTCCCACTTCCTGATTCAGGTTCACACTCTCTGATGTGAGAAACGAAGGTTGATTCCTTGTTGTAGACTTTCCCACAAGTTGCGCAGCAGAACGTGGGTGGGGCCGAATCGTGCTGCTCTTGCACGTGCTCAATCAGATCGTCTGCACGTGGAAAGTGCTTCTCACAGCTCTTACATAAATAGCACTTCCGACCGTTCACCACAACACTGTGACATTTGAGGCGGTGCCGAGAGGCGTTCTTACAGGAATTAAATTTCTTGCAGCAGAAATCACACTGGAAAATCTTTGGTTTTCGGTGTACTTTAAGGTGGTTTTCGAGGAGAAGACGCTGGTTGAAAACTGCGTGACATTCCGGGCACTCAGCCTTGACATTCTTCTTGGAGCTAGACTCATAGTTACTTCCGGGTAACTTGCTCTCTGCACATCCTCCGTAGTAGCCAACATTTGAGAAATTGTGTTCCAATTTGGAATGGTACCACCAAGCTAAGTACACTGTAAATCCAGTGTTGCACAGGATGCAGGCATATTGGCGCTTTGGTCCATGAACGCTTTCTCCAAACATTTCGTCTGGTATTTCAGGACTTGTACTAGTCAGTTCGGGAGTGTTAGGGGACGTTGAATCTGCTGAAGATACCGCCAACGTGCTGCTAGTACTGGCAGCAGAGTTTTTGAAACCTAGCTTCTGTTTCTTAACAACACCGTTTGTCAATGATTCTCCAGGTCTCTTGATTCTGATAGCTGGGTAGATCGCCTCAGCTCCGTCCTCTGAAGAAGGCGGCTCTTCCTCATCTTCCATATCACTCAAACCGTGATCTCTGTCACCTGTTAGTGCCCCAAAATCAGACTCATCGGAATCATCACTATCACTGTCGTCTTCATCAGATGAAATTTCATCGACAGCATCTTCGGGGGTGATGAAGTGGGAGAGGAACTCTTTGTGGTAGTTCGTATCGTGTTCCTCGTGAGCATGGAGCAGCATCTCCGGGACATTCTCGAAGTCGATCTTACAAAACTTGCATTTGGCACTTTCAATCCACTCCGGTTTTCGTTCACAGATCTCCAAAGAAAGTCCAACATCAACAAGCAGCCCCTCGATAAATCCTGGGCTCCTGGAAATATTGGAGCGGGGACTAGCAGGCTCCGATATCGAGATTTCAGCATTCTCCAACTCATTCAGAATGGGCTCACTGTCCTCTGGGATTTTTGTTTCTGTCACCGAAGTCTCGACAACCACACCCTCCACCAAATCATCTGGGTTCACATGTCGCAAGGGTTGCGCGTTCTGGTCAAAGTTATGGAAAGTCTCCATGTAGTTTTTCGTCCTGTCACCAGAGATCTTGTGAATATTGGTGAGATGTCTTTTGACATTGTTGTAGTTCTTGAACTGAAACTTCTGGTTGCACAGGGTACACTTGAAGCCCTCTTTAAGATGTTGCTTACAGTGGACCGTGTACGATCGAAGCGCTCTGAAAGGTAACTTGCATTCCTGGCAGTAGTAAGGGGCATTTTCCTCCTTGATCTCGTGATGTCTGCAAGGGTTCTCAGTGGTGCAGATCATTCCTCGGCTGCATTTTGGAGGCAGTCTCGGCTCTCTGGGTGGTGGCGGTTTCTCAGGCTCCTGCTTTGCATTAGGAGGAGGCACGATTGTGATCGTTTTGTGGCTCCAGGTTTTCTTATGCCACTTCATCTGCTTTTTGTCCTCAAACACACAATCACAGTCTAGACATACAAAGTTCTTTTTTGTCTCCGGGGATGACTCACCATCGACACGTTCACCTCCAAAACTGGCTTTTGAGTGATCTGCATTAGAGTTGGGGTTATTCAACATTTTCTCGGCGATCTCTTTGTGCTGAAGGGATTTCTTATGGTTCCACAGTTGTTTGTAAGATTGGAAGTCGATGTGGCACTCATCGCAAGAGTAGTATACTTCCATGTATCCCGGATCATACTTCTTAGCAAGTTGGATGTGAGATAAGGTTCTCTTGTGGTTGTAAAGCTGTTTGTGGGATTTGTAAGTAAGGTTACACAGTTCACAGACGTACGGACCTGCAATCGGGACACCAGGCGTTCTTTTCTTGTTGCTTACATCCAAAATAGATTGACTCTTATCCGGGGTAGCGAAAGGTGGAAGATTTTCTGCTTCTTCCGTCCTAGAAGAAACAATAGATTCATCTATCTCTTCAAGTGCATTTGTGGAAAAGTCTTGAGGGTGGTCAACGAGGGAATAACTTGAATCCATCTCTTGTTTGATTGGGGTGCTTGTTTGATGAGGAGTTTCAGTTGCTACCTCAGAATGATCATCTTCAATGATAGGCTTGGTCTCTGTAAACGGTTGTATTGATACCGACACGTCATTATCAGCTAGTTTTGACAAAACTGACAAGTTCCCACCCATGGGGTCTGACAAGATTTCAGACAAGGCATCTGGAGACCTCAGAGTACCTACACGGGGCTGAGGAAGCTGACGGAGAACGATCTCTGCGATGTTAGTTCGTCCATCATGGGCGATCTTCTTATGCCAATGGAGCTGCTTCTTGCAGTTGTATCCCTGATCGCACTGATCGCAGAGATGTTTGCCATGACTCACAGCGGTAGGTCCTTTAGCTAACAACTCCATTGCTAGGTGTCTCTTAGTATGTTTGTGCCAGTAGAGTTGCTTGTGGGACGCGAAGTTCAGTTCGCAGACATCACAGTACATCGTTTCAGTTCCACTTCCAGAGACTGGCTGGGGATCTTCAGACCGAGAATTACTGACATCAGTGACTGAGACAGTGTTTGGGGATCTAGCGACCATGGACGGAGTTCCACTAAGAGCCGACACTGACTTTGTGATCTCATGCTGTGGCGCAAGGGGTGCTGTTGCAGGTATCTTTCTTGGAGGGGATATTTCCTTCTTTGGCACAGGAACGATGCAGTTTTGTCTAGAGTATTCTGAATAAGGCATGGTTAGCATCTTTGCAGGGATGATGTTTGCATAAGACTCAGGTCTAGGTCTTTTCCTTGTATTGTAGCTATGCGGTGAGATTGGGAGTGAAGGACAGAGAGCACCATCAGTAGTCGACTTCATCGGAATTTCCATAGGCAGATTCTCAAGCTCGTCCAATGCACTCTGGTTCATACTCTCACCCATCTCGTTCTCCGACTCATTGTCAAAAGCCTCTTGGTGGTCCTCTGTAATGGTGACAACGGGAGGGACTGATTTACCTTCCGAGGGCTGTATCTCAGAGTTCTGTCTAGATCTATCAGAAGAGGAACTGTTTTCAAGGAGTGAGTACAGGGCATTGTCTTGAGAATTTGAGTTTTTGATCTTGAATCTATCACGACAAGCCTTTCTGTGCTTCTGGAACTTTCCCTGTGAAGAAAAACTCTTGTCACACAGTTCACAGTAGTCTGCCACGGCGTCACTTCTAGACGCAGTGTTCGATTCCAAGGCAGCTATATACTCCTCAGCTGCACCATGAACCAGTAACAGGTGGTTCTTCAGAGTGGCCATGTCTTTGAACTTGAAATTACAGAGACTGCAGGGCTTTCCTCCAAGGATATGAGCTTTTGTGTGAGAGTTTAGATTAAACTGGTTGTTGCAGAGCTTCAAACAAACAGAACACTTGAAGGTGGAACTGTTGAATGGAGTCTCGTTAAGGTGTCTGGAGGGGTCGTTTGGAAGGGCGTGGGTGTTCATGTGGTTCTGAGTTATGTGCTCCTTCATATCACGGAATGTACCAGACTTGGCTTTGCAGAAGATACAGTTGAACTGTTCAACTGATCTGTGGATCAGATATGCCCATCCAAGGATTGTTGGGTCTCAACGGTAATGTTGCAGAACCCGCAAATATTTTGAATGTCAACAGTGGATTGTGCGAAGGTGAAGGCATCGTTTCGATGCATCTCAATGTGAAACTTGAAGCTTCTGAATTCTCCATACTGTTCGTCGCATAACGTGCAGGTCCACTCTTCGTTGGGTTCATCGCTGTGAACTCTCCAGTGATCCTCAACATGATGGGTGATGGTGAAGAGGAAGAAGCACACCTGGCAAGGAAATATGATCTCCGACTCTGGAGATATCCTCGGGGGAGGAGGCTCGTTCATCCCAACAACATTCACCCTCTTGAAGAAGTGTCCGAGTTGTGTAACCTCTCGATGCTAGCTACTCGCTCAATGTCGTCACTTCCCAGCTCGACCGGTCCATCTTCCTGGTTGTTATAAAGGGGTGGTTTCGCAGAATGTGGGATTTGATGCCACCGATGGTTGGCACTGTCTTATCACAAAATATGCAGACAAAGTGATCCCACTGTCGGTGTTCGATGAGATGCTTCTTGAGGATCATACTTGTTACTTCAGCATCGCAGAACCTACAGTTTCTCACCAACTTAGAGGTTTCTTTAGGAAACACGGAGGAGGGCTGCCGAAGTGACTCATCAGAGAAAGTCAGTGACTTGTTACAGGAAGTGTTCAAGAAACTCTCATCATTGCCAGAATTAGGGGTAGCTGGAGCGGATGCAGGGACAGGAGAACTTGAGGCTGAGAGGACATCATGACTGTGTTTCATGTGTAGGCTCCGCTGGTAGAGTGTCTCGAACGTTATCTCACACCACTTACACTTGTATGGCTTCTTGTGGTAAGCGAGGTGGTACACCGCAATGTGTTGGATTAAAGACTCCTTGTTTTTAAAGGAGGAAAAACAGTACAAGCAGTTTATCTCAACTTCATTGTGGATGTAACGGTCATGTTTGTTCTTCAGCTCAAGAGAAGGGAAGGATATGTTACATTTCGGACACAAGTTACTTTCTTCTTTCAGAGACTCAGCTGACTTCTCTGGAGTGACCGTCACTGGTTTCAGGGGGGAAGCAGTGCGGTTTGTGATGTTGGCAACATCGCTGGAATGGAACTCCTTCATATGAGAGCACCTCTTGGGGATTGATGTGAAGTGGGCATCGCACCAGCGACACTTGAACAAGCTTTTAGACCCACTGTGTTCTGTTTTAATGTGTTTGGTCAGCTCGGTCCTATTCAGGATCGGTATGAAGCAGTAGAAACACACAATAGACTGGTCGTTGTGCACAGACTTCTCATGTTTCCGCTTTATCTTCGAGTTTTTGAATGTCTTCTGGCAGAACCTACACATAAGAGACAAACCGTCGAAATCAGTGAGTTTGGGACTGATGTAAGAGGGTTTCTCAACTGGGGGACTTGGTTTCTCTGTGTTATCAGAGATTTCCGGGTGATCGCTAAGATGGACATTCTCAAGGTGGCCTAGTGCAATAGGCGGGGTTGGCGAGATCTTGGTGCACAGTATGCACTGGAAATTGATACCATGAGGTTGGGAACCGATGATGGTAAACATTTTCAAGAGTATTATCTTGTTGGCCTCGCGATGAACGTCTGCACAATGAAGCTGAAGATCCGTGTAGGAAACAAAACAAAGCTTGCAGAAGAGGCAGGTCACATTGATTTCGTTCACCTTGGTCTCTTTATCTGGAGACAGTTCAATCGGTTTCACAATCACTGGTTCTGGCTTCTCTTCCACTTTGATTTCTGTAGGAACCGGGGTTGATCTCTGGCTGGAAGGTTTTTTCTTTTCAGGGAGGTCATCTTCAGAGAATTCGAGTTTCTTGGACGACCTCGATGATGTTCTCTTTTCTTTCGGTTCATCTTTAATCCTGGTAGGTTTAGGAGACGATTGTTCCCTCTGCTTTTGGATTACAAGCTGGGCTGAAAGTTGCGCTGACAGCTTTGCTGAATTGAGCAGACGTTCTGAAACTTTCATTTTGCCATGCACTTTTTGCATATGCTTCAGGAAGTTGGACTTCTTATAAAAGATGCTCTTGCACATTTCACAAGACCACGGCTCGTGCAATTCAGCTGCTTCAGTCTTGGTGCGGTTCCTGTGCTTCTCCGAGGTGTGACGATGAAGAAGCACTCGGGTCTTGAAATATTCCCCGCAGTGCGAGCACTTGAAGTTCATGTCAGTTGAGGCTTTAGGTATGTGACTTTTCTGAAAATGCTTTTTGAGCCGAGCTTGAGAATTGAATGTTTTCTTGCATTTTAAACAAGAAAATATTCCCTCGTCTTTCTTCAATATGTCATCCATATTAATCCCCGGATGCATGTGAGCGATGTGTTGCCGCAAACCGAAGGTGTTGGAGAAAAGCTTGCTGCACACTTTACACTTTTGGAAAAAGAAGGACTTTTCTTCAGTGAAGTTATAAAACTCGTCCAACTGTTTCCGCTCAACTTCGTCCTGATGCATACCGTCGGAGAGGAAGTCATATTTTGCAGACATGCAAGGATCCGTGACCAATACGGTATCGTAACCGATGGGATCGTAGAAATGATCACAATCAGTCATCTCGATAAGACAGTCAGTGAAGGACCTCTGACTTGACCAGCTTTTCAGCAGAACAGATAGTTTGCTACGTTGGATTGCGGGGAGTTTAGAGATACTCTCAGCAGCATCCTTGTGAACGAGGCCCAAGTTATGGAGCACAGATGAGAAGTTGTAGTCACTTTTATTCCATACAATTCCCTCCTGAATGCTCGCATCTAGAGCAGTAAATTCTTGTTCTGGAAGATAAGTGGGTCCATCTGGTTTAAACGCGTCAACAGACTCGTCAGGAGGGACATAGAAATACTGCCCAGCTCCGTCAGTGTACTCGATGAGCTCTTCCTTTATTATTGGTGTAGATGATATCATAGAGAGGGTTGAATCATGACGTTGCATTCCATTATATGCATCTGAGTCCTGGCTGAGTGAAGACATGCTGTCTTCCTGAGTGAAACTGAAAAAGTCATCAACTCTAGCTGAGGAAGCAATGGATCCAAGGGAGTTGTTCCTGGAGAAGGAGGACTTGTTAATCGACATCACTTCTTCTTCGTCTTGTGAGGAACATCCCGGATTCGCATCATTGCTTTGATATACCGGCACCTTGGAATCCTGCATGGCAGTTTCATCATTTAAAGTGAACTCTCCTTCATCAGCAAATATCTCTTGAACTGTTTTAACCGAGACTCCCTCCACTACCTCTTCTTCCTCCACTACCTCCATAGTCTCGCTCATCTGTTCTGACACGGCAGGGGAATCATCAGACTCAACAATTCTAACAAAACCACCATTCTCCAAAGCTAAAGGTGTCTTCACTTTCGTCTCCTCCAGTGTCTTTACCGAAACTTTCGGTTCGACGACCTTCGTTGCGTAAATTGAATGTCGATGAGGAGTGTGCTTGTTTGATTTGACACTATTAGGAGGAGTATCAATGAAGCCATCATAACTTTCAAACATATCCTCAGTCATTTCCTCAACCTCCTCTTCCACAACCTCCTGCTTCTTCGCACCCTCTGTTCCATCCTCGTCCTGAGAGGATCCTTCAAAAGCTGAAGACGAACCCCTCTCTTCACTAAACTCCGGATCACTTTTGTCCTCCAGAGTATCTTGGTAAACTGACTCGGGGGAAGAAGGAGCGGACTCAGTGTAAGCTGACATGAGCAGGGACAGTCCTGAGGACCCGGACACCTCCATTTCTCCCACGACCTGAAGAGGAAGAGACGTTAGTAATAATTGCTGAGTAAGACTATTATGTAAATTAGACTGGAAGTATGGGGTAAATAAGACGCGTGACGTTCTGAACCAGATGCAATGTATAAGTGCGGTGGGTACGGAGTCACAGAAAGTTCATTACTCTTATTACTATCAGATGACAAGTTGATAATGCAACGACTTTCAGTATTATCGATGTTTAATTTAAAAAACAAAAGAGGGTGAATTTTTGCAAATGAATAACTCATCAAGCTGGAACTTAATTCATGGCCCTTTATCTTATACACACAATGTGTTGGAATCTTATTTTGTAAAGTTACAATATTGAATACTCCATTATGCTGACGACCAGCTCAACTAACCCCAGCCATCCTGCCTAACGGTCACAAAACTTCTATGAGGGTAATTTATATTTAGACATCATGAATTAACAGGACACTCAGTGTAAGACATTAACCTTATTATAAGTTAAACACAAATATCATGTAAGGCAACGTTATATACTACGCTGTTGGATAATCCAACCTAAAATTGCCAAAAGGCTGCGAATTTAGCGAATTGTTCAGCTTAATTGCTTTTGTTTGGGTAAATATTTGCCGCACATAAAAAATCTAGGCATATGCGGAATCGCACTATTAACAAAATATTATCGAACCTACATGTTACCTCTGTAATGTAATCTGAACTTTTACAGCATGAATTTGTCAATAATAATTATGTTGTCCAATGTCCAGAACAGGAATTTGTCAGTAGGCCAGTTTATCGACCAATAAATGTCGCACTGAGAAACGTGGCAGTGACAAGAGGTTATTATTTCTGGCTCATAGAATCGAATTAATTTTTTTCTTTCAAAACCTAGATGCTAATACAGTACTAGAGAGACCGAGTCAAGGTGCATACATTTTCCCGGCTATAAACCTAGATAAGATGTGTACTGTGCAGTTTTTGATTAGGAGTTAAGAGTTAATCTACAATAATGGACAAACTAATAGACGAAAAATATGAAAGCGAATTTGGTGGTACAACTATGACGCACATCCAGCAGATATCATCAACATTTAGAGATAATGTAATGGCCACTTAACTCATCCACTTTTGAAATTCCGGGGATGAATGGTGAATAATGTCGATCCCGGACAACATTTTCTTCTACTAAAAATAGATTCCCCGTCACCACAAGCAGTCAACAACATCTGGCAATGACAAGCATGGGCGTAGGCACATGAGCGTAAATCTACTGGACGGCTCCAGTCTCTCTCACTCCGCCGTGAAGTCCTAAGGTAGGCCTAGGCCTACATAATATGTCAAATTGTAACTATTTTAGCTACGACTTTATGGCATTTCTCGGAAAATTGAGTAAAGAACATTTTACGTAATGGAGAAAAATGACAAAATCGTTTATCTTTTCGCCCCGCGGAAAAACTGCAGAAACACTGGAGAAAACTTCACTGAGTTGCCGACGGGCACCGTAAAATTGTGTCTAAAATCTAAATTGAGGGATACTATTTAGTATTTATTTTGATATGCTATTTTGGTACCTGGTTAGTGGTTATGGGGTGGAGTTTGAGGATTGGGTGAACAATTTTTTTAACGGCGAGGTGCTGATGGTTGGGAGGGTTTTCTGGCCAATAAAAATGGTTACGTGATGAAATCCACAATTTTGTGACAATTGGTGGATGGTACGGGTATTGTTGGGGAGGGCTAACCTAATTATGAACCCTTGCCAAAATTGTTGTTAGGAAAGCACAAATTGCTAGGAAACGGTTTATCGCCGGAATTTGACTTAATTGCTCTTCTTAAATAGGACGCACGCCAAATATTTGTGATCTCGCTTCAGAATGTCAACATGCCATTTCATTTCTGTGCAGCGAGGTTTACATCATAAGTTCACCGCAAAGCAACACAGTTAATGATGTATTCTGTCCACCGTGGATAGCCCCCCTTTACAGGACAAAGATTAAAGATGCCAATGTTATCTTACCATGGTCAGGCAGTGTACAATGTATAATATACTATACATTGTGCACTGGGAATATTTTCATGGGTACAGTATATAAGTATGTTATACAAGACGTTGCCAACGTTTTGACGTGTTATTCATGGGCTGATAGTAAGAGAGCCGGTGTTGAAGCTTATATCTACTGTTTGTGATCATTACTGATCACTATAGGTGTTAAAATATACTGTCTCATTTCCAGGATGAATTAAGAGAATATGTTAACTAAGTTTATCTAGTATCAGTTGCTTTCAAATTCATTATTTGCTAGAATAGTGAACGCGAACGATATCCCAATGAGCGGAAAACTATGAACTGCCAAGTGAAAATTGAAACGGCGTCATTAGTCATTACATGGTACATCTTCCGAATTTTGGATTAGACCATCATAATATGTACGTTATTGATATTTATGAGAAAGTTAGATATTTGAGCAGCTTACAGTACACATACAGGGCAAGTTACAGAGGTTAGTTTCACATTACGTGAGTGTACTGCGATTTGAAGTTAGTACTTACTTTTGCAGTAAAATGTATCAAGCATGGATACTGGATAGTAGCTTTAAAAGTGAATTTCAGCAGCCACATTTTCAATAATAGTCGTTGAATTAATATTACGTGTTTAAAAATTGTCGCAATATAAATAAAACTAAGCACTACAAGTTATACCTTACAAGCCCTGGCAACTCCCATTTTGCATCAGTATCAGTACTTACAGTTAACAGTATACTTAAAAACTGTTAGACTTAAGAACTGGCGAGGTGTTGCGAATTTGTCCATGCAGGCATGAACGCGATATGTGAATTTGACTGTTTTTCGCAACGCTGCATGCTAATAGGCTAATCGCAGTCTGGCGTCAAAACTAATTTTCAGTCAGTGCACTCCCTATCAGTCTGCAAGTCCGATTCTGTTGACATATGTGGGCTTGTAATGGATATTGTTTTGGACAGTTCACTTGAAAAGAGATTACGTTCGTGCAAGTTTTCGTCGGAGTCAATTCTCCATCCCAATTTCCGTATGAAGGAGATGTTTAGGTCTGTTCCATAGCAAATCGTTGACAAGTTATGTTTTAAATCTCTTAAGAATACCCTTTGAAAGATGCCGGCCAACTCTAGTTTAACTGTGCATGTGGTCGAGACCAATAATAGGCCAATTCACCAAAAAACTTTTCTCGCTGATTGTCTGAAACTCAGTCAAGAAGCTGGCGTGACAAAAGGTTTCGACGAGCAGCGATATGGAGTGACTTGTTTCTGATGAATTATTACTATCGGTTGTATACAACGGCTCCTTAATTACGAGGACTGGTTCAATCTGGGCCACATGTTCTTCAAACTAACAACAACAACAATAACTTTAGAATATACTTGTTACATCAAAATATCGTGATTAACGTTCACACTAGATCGGCGAGCTTAATTACCTTTGAATCTTATATGGATGAGAAATGAAGCAATTCCTGGTCGTCCTGCTCCGCCACCTGGATAAATAATGTTGATATTTTGCTCTTGAAGAAATCAATCTGTGTAGGATTTAAATATTTGACCTTACAACATGCAGATAATCCATGTAATCGTTCACAGTCCTTTGTCTCCACGAGTAAGGAATATGCTGAATGTTTTACATAGCAGCAACTGTCAGAAATGCATTCTAAGGACTAGCGAAGTAGCACTTACGGGAGAGCAACAGTCTTCAGCAACCAACGTATCTGACCGTTCTCTTGTATGCTATTTTCTCGACATCAGCTGTTCAAGTAGAAGATTGTTAGAACGACACGTGACAAATAAATATGCAGACACGTGACTAACGCGCGTCGTGCGCGTCGTCATACTCGAAGCGCACTGCTCAATACTTTATTTACAAATTGTAAGGAAATGTCGAGTCTACCGAAATTGCTTTATTGGCGAGCTCTATTCTCTAACCGGTCGTACTGCGTCCATTATGCTAAATTTAAAGATGATCTTCGAAGAATTGTATGATGCTGAGACTAAGACTTCGCGATTGAATGCCGGTGAATGTAAATTAGTGAAGTACTGATACGGAACACTTTAAATGCTGAGATGACAATATTCCGACTGGAACTGAAGATCAGTTTCTAGAGTCACCGAAAATACGACTTATATTACTAATAAATTATAAACGGTGAAGCAGAAACTGCCCCAATTTCTACGGCTTACTCACCAAATGGCATGTTAACGTGAAATGTAAATGATTCAGAAGGAAAGAACGATAAATACAAACGTTGTTTTTTATGGATAGAATTAGTAATAGGTTTTTGTATAACAACCGAACGAACCTCTCAGCAAATTAAATCGACGAGCCAAACATAAGAAGTTAAATGAAATTTTGATAGAATCATGAACATGTTGCCAAACTTTAAACGTTTCATTCGACGACATCTTCAACTTTCAGAACACCTTGCTATAATATCTGTACTTTTTGGAGAGCAGCTCTATATAATATCTGTTTCCCCGACCTACGCTACATGACTGTATACAGCACAGAATCATCACTAAGGATACCTCTCTCTCTCTCTACACACTAGAAATAGAAAGCAGTAGAGACTCCCTTCTGTTAAAAGGGGCCACCCCATGATAACAATAACATACACCCAGCATCCCGTCCACCAGTGTAACAAACTATAAATTCCACCGCATTAGGCTCCCATATACTCGCATGTGGTAATCCCGTTGGGTCAGTTTCAGGACAATTGAAACGGAGAATTGTGAGCCCCTGTTGTTACTACTGATTCGGGACGTACCATGTATAAAATATTCATAGCTCAAAATTATAAGGACCCGTGTTTCCAAAACAAAAGAAGTAAGGTGTTGAATGTTAAATGGAACAAAGGAAGCAAGCTCTCTTGACTGTGTTGATCATGACAAGCCATGAGATGGGAGGCTGCAGACTTTACCTAGTTCCGCCGTTATTACCTGTTATAACAGTACATGTTGCGGTAGAGAAAAGTAAGCCGTCTCTAGATTGGCTCAGGTTACAATGTGCGGTATATGGCGTATGGGAACACCTCTTGAAATATTAGTTCTACAGGGCGCTGTACATTCCGACAGCGGCACATCCTGTCATTTGTAGCTTGGTGGTGTCGGTGTGCCTATTATAATAGGAATCAGAAGAAGTTTCTTCAGCCTCATTCCTACTGCATGTCTGGAGACGATATAGCGCAGAGTGAAAATCTGTGTGATGATTCACATTCCTCGCCATTGGCATGGTAGTATAAAACAAATAGTTCTACACGGCCAAACATTTGTTGTTTGTGTTAGAGCGACCAAATTTAGTTCATCACTTAAATTTGATTTTTTGAATAAACAAACATTGATTTGTGGGGACCAACTAAAGAGACTGATATAATTTGATGATGTGGCCAGTAATTCAAAATTAATAGAAATATACCCATCCTATTTTCCAGTACCTGGTTCCAGTACCTGGTTCCAGTACCTATTTTCCAGTACCTATTTCCCAGTACCTGGTTCCAGTACCTGGTTCCAGTACCTATTTCCCAGTAGGTACCTATTTCCCAGTACCTGGTTCCCAGTACCTGGTTCCCAGTACCTGGTTCCCAGTACCTATTTTCCAGTACCTGGTTCCAGTACCTATTTCCCAGTACCTGGTTCCAGTCGCCGTATAACGTCACAACAAACCGTTGGACACAAGCTCCGATGTGCACCGTACCCCCACAAGAACAGCTAGAGCAATGTACACGGCGAACATGTACTGCAGTGGGCTGGAGCGGAAGTGTTAAACTCAACATGCATGAAAAGGGTTTGGAATGCGGCCCTGCCTGGCTCTCCTCAGCTGAACTTCATTATTAATACACCATTTCCTGGTAGATAGCGGCCAGATGGATGACATGTCTTCAGACTCTCCCTCCCTCCCTTGCACTATTCTCCCTCACTCAAACACTCTCTCTCTCTCCCTCGCACTATTCTCCCTCACTCAAACACTCTCCCTCCCTCCCTCGCACTATTCTTCCTCACTCAAACACTCTCTCTCTCTCTCCCTCGCTCGGTAACTAAGAACAGTTCATTTGTCATCCACCCCATCTGACTCCCTTGTTCCAGACACGGAACAAGTTAACGCTCTCCCTCGCTCAGCTCCAGGCCCCAACTTTCAGTGAGAGAGAGAGTGAGAGAGAGAGAGAGAGAGAGAGAGAGAGAGAGAGAGAGAGAGAGAGAGAGAGAGAGAGAGAGAGAGAGAGAGAGAGAGAGAGAGAGAGAGAGAGAGAGAGAGAGAGAGAGAGAGAGAGAGAGAGAGAGAGAGAGAGAGAGAGAGAGAGAGAGAGAGAGAGAGAGAGAGAGAGAGAGAGAGAGAGAGAGAGAGAGAGAGAGAGAGAGAGAGAGAGAGAGAGAGAGAGAGAGAGAGAGAGAGAGAGAGAGAGAGAGAGAGAGAGAGAGAGAGAGAGAGAGAGAGAGAGAGAGAGAGAGAGAGAGAGAGAGAGAGAGAGAGAGAGAGAGAGAGAGAGAGAGAGAGAGAGAGAGAGAGAGAGAGAGAGAGAGAGAGAGAGAGAGAGAGAGAGAGAGAGAGAGAGAGAGAGAGAGAGAGAGAGAGAGACAATGACACAAACATTCTAACATTCCAGAAAGAAGCTCTCTATCGGGTGAGAGTGCGATATCAAACTGCTCACATCATCACACGACACCTCCAGCCAACACACGGACAATAGACCTCGTGGTGGCCCAGCTTTACGTGTAACCACGCGGTCTACTCTATAATACGAGGCTGCCCTCAACTGGGAGAGAGGGAGAGAGAGAGAGAACTGAGAGCTCTGTATACCCCGCTAATTACATTGCGCTACACAGTCAGAGACAACAGCCAGAGCTGGAAATTGAGCATATTATGTAACTCAAAGAAAAAGACATTATATTTGGAGGGGCCTGGTCGGGAGATGATGACCTGACGCGGACTGGTCTTTGTGTTGGGAGGAGAGAGAGAGGGAGAGAGGGAGGGGGTGGAGAAAGAGAGAGAGGGTGCTGTAGCAGTCCAGTAATAGAGTGCTGAGAGACTCTTTTGTGCTCCAAGATAACAGTACACGTTGTGGTAGCGTGGTGCTGCTGTGGGGTAATAGCCTGTGTTTAAGAGGGTATAAAGGGTCCTTGTACTGGAATGTGAGGTTGTAACCCTGCGGCTGGCTGGAACGTGGGTATCAGGTTGGGACCTTGGGGTTGAAACGGGGGGAATCAGGAGAAAATCGGATCTGCTGAACTTTTAAAGCGAGCGAAAAGTCTCACACTGCTTCAGTGCAGAGACGGTTTTACATCCATCACATTCACTACACTTCATTAAGCATTTCTACACCACGTAATACAATTCATCGTAATTACATGAACCCGCAACATGTATTCTCATATAAATTAACAATTTGCCATTCAAATTATGACAGGTAGCAGTGATAGCTAATTTGAATCCCGGAGAACATTCCATAAACACTCGCTAGGTCGTAAAACATTACGTGGAAATTATTACATTGCATTAGATGAAGTCTATCCAGCAGAACGTGTGTCTTTCTGGGTGTCAAATTGATTTGCCACCCACCCGGTAATACGCACTTGCAGACAATTATCAATAGCTACTGCTGTATAACATCTTTGTGGCATGGTGAATGGTCTCATCTTCGAACAATGCACTCTGTGGCAGATCTCTTTAAAAATTAGTGTTTTTTCAATGTTACGAAACGTCCCATGTACAGTGTAAAGTGTGTGATGTTGTACTGTTCTGCTATAACACTCGGCACAAACTGTTAAAGTATTTTTAGCATCTCAACGTGTTCTGACAATCAATTGAAATTAATTTCTATTCGAGTGTGCATTTTTTTAGTTTTCTATCGGTTAGTTTGATAACCCAGAATTGTGCTCATCGGTCTAAATTCAATTAAAAAACACGAAAGTGGCCGGATTAGATTTAAGATATCAACAAATCATTTAGTAAAAGCAGTTTTACAAGACAGATTGAGTTTCGTGTTTAGAATGTATGAGGTCCACTTTAAAACTGACAGCAGAAGCACTTCACATAGCCACTTCACCCGATAACGGAGTTAGACTAATTAAATTTTACTATTTTAACCACTATCAGCACTGGATCAGTACTGGTCCGTTTCTACGGATACACAATAAGACCAAGTCAGGACCTTCGAAAATTAGTTCTGTTTAGACGACGATGGTTGATTTTAAATCCATGTTTATTGATCAATAGGAATGCTGTATGATAAATGGAATGTGTAGCCAATACAGACGGAGTGAGGACCATTCTAAAACTTCCGTATTTTTCATTTTTAAATTTGTATGTTATGATTTTTCATCAAGAGACTCGACGATTTTTACAGTTTAAGTCGGTGATTTAATAACATTTTATAAGATCATCTATATAAGGTCTGATGTTCTTTCTTCATTCTACCATGTTCAATGTTCATGACTAAACACTTTTCACCTTGAAAAACCAAGTGTTTCCCCTAAGATCTTTGAGCAATAAGTCAATAGTCAATACCAGTCATGACACAGTCATCAGAGTTTACTCTAATTCACTCTTAGCATGACGTTTAGAACACATCATGAACGTATCGACTTATGAAAACCACGATATGTTCCGGATGCAGATGTTGTCTGGTATTGCTGGTAATATAAGAAGTGTCAAATATGCTAGTTTTAGGAGTTGAAATTATGGAAAAGATTGGGTTATATCTCAAAATGGCCGCTTCTTTAGATCATCAGCTATCATTAATTCGATAAAAAATGCAAG